ATACATATATATATATATATATATATATATATATAGGTATATATATATAACAAAACTACGGCATGGCGGCACGACGGTAAGCTAATAAAATGAGCCGCATATATATAATATTATAATATAGGTACGCGGTTTGGTTTAAGGACAGATTGTATTATAAATCTTTTTTCTTAGTGTTAAAAGGATTTTTGTCATTAAACTCGAATTTTATTTTATATCTCTTTCGATGACGGCAATAAACAAATATTAATTGGGATTTGTTACCACTGGCAACTACTGGGATATTTTAAATAAAATTTGTCGCCTGTGGCAACATTATCTGTTTTTATCTCATTTGTCACCACCTGGTAACCTTAGAGCTTAGAGGATGGTGGAAAAAAAATAAAAGAAAGGAGCTGCCCTAACTACGGAATCAACGTGCATTAGTTCACTAAGTAGTCTGTGGTGCATATAACCAAAATTTGAAAGTTACAAATGGCGGATTTATTTAATGTTGTACCATAATCTATCGATAAGTTATTATCAACATGCAAATGTATGGTATGAATGATGAAACTGTTTTTTTTTTGTTTCTTTAGTTTACTGTAACCAAAGTATGCCTAAACAAACACAAGTCTAATAATTTAATCTCGAGTGATATATTATTATAAATGTTAACACACATACTTGGTACTTGGTGTAAAGGGCTGGTGTCCGCAACTCGACGTCAAGGCGCTAACACACATTTTTAAACTTTAAAAAAATATATTTCAAGATTACAACTGGTAACATGCAGGCTTTAAATAAATAGTCATTTTTAATAGTTAGAGTTGTCATTGGGAAAAATCAGAAATGAGTGGATAATTTTGTTTTCAGGAACTGAGAATAATTAGTAAATGAGTCTTGTTTAATCTAATTGAACATAAAATTATTTACCAATAAACCTAATGATGGAATAGCATTGTCATGTAATCTAGTTACATTCAAAGTTCTGTTAAAATTTGACTCTTCAAAATGAAGCGAACAAATGAAGATGATCTTTGATCTAACGTTTATATTCGACAGTCCTACGATTTCCAACCATTCTTTATTCCTTTTTTCATTTGTAGGAAAACTCGAAATAATAAAAATAATAATAATAAAACAATAAAAACCTCGTAGTGAAATGTTTTAATAACAGAATATCGATAATATGTATGCTTACAAGATGGACACTATCTCAAAATAATCGTTAACAACAATCATCAAAATATACAAACAAACAGGCAATCTAAAGTAATAAAAGCAAAATTTGGCAAGATTTATAAACTACTTAAATAAGTCTAATTACATGAAATATTAGGGCTATTGTGTGATTTATAGACAAAAAAATAACACATGCCTGTGCAATGTAACATTCGATTGATTTGCACTTTTTCTAAAGCCACATCCCTTAATGCTGCAGCGTCACATTTTTATTAATACCTAATTATTCTCACTGTTAATATTTTTGTCCAATTTAATTACAATACATACGAATAATTCAATAGTACTATTGGAAAAACATTTGTTTTGACATTTGATGTACTTCTCTTTGACAACGATATCATGTACCTCATGTACTGCGAAATGGACACGGTTGGCATTTAAGATGACGTTACGTATTTTCGATTCCCGTGTTTGACACAGACCAATTTAATGCTATCTCTTTTGGCTTAAGACGGCACGTAATAGTTAAACAAACATTTTGTTTATGTTTTCGACGTCGAAATGCATCATATACATATAACGTCTGATTTATATATGTCAACGTAACATGACCTTTAGTTTCCATCGTAGATTTAGTATATAGCTACTAAATCTGTGGTTTCCGTAGGCTAAGCCTTAGAGGATGGAAAAAAATAATAGTCTAAGCTGGTAACATATGCGTTTTTTCCCATTTGTCACCAGTGGGAACAAAGCTAGTGGTGACGATTAGGATAAGCAAAATGCTGAAATCTGCCCCACATCTAGGGCAGCTTTAAACCCGCATTGGGCGCCTTTGAATTCGTCAATTTAAATAAAAATCACTTACCTATTTATTGCAAAATATTTTTATTAAATCCATTATCAAAAATCTTTTACAATATATTGTAGTTCTTCAATCTGTTTATAGTTAAATCTATAATCACAGTTTTCGCGTCCAAAAGTTTGAACAGAACCGAAGAATCGACACTCAATTAAAGTTTAAATTATTAACTACAATATAAAAATTAAATATAAACTTCTTAATCTTAAGTATAAATTATAAAATCACAGGAATAGTACAAAACAGAATAAAAATATCTAAAAAAAAATATACAAAACTTCTTATAAAAATGTTAGCAGAAGAAGCTAACCAGAACCTCTAAACGTGTTCAAATCCGTACGACAAGCAAAGTTCAACTCACCATTATTTATATTCTTCTAGTAATATCCTTACAACTATTTCACTAAATTACTAAATTACTTCAAAAAAGGAGGAGGTTTTCAATTTGACTGTTTTTTCATCATCTAAATCTCCGGCATTCGTGAACCGATTTTGATTATTCTTTTTTCTGATACTAAACTACTAAACTTTGATACTAAACACGACCTGAATAAATGAAACTCAAAACATATTATACACAAATACTAAAAATTAATTCGTGTAAAAACTATGTCTGCATAAACCCGCCATTTTCTTTTTCGTTTTTAATATTCTGAAGCAGGTAGCAACATGCAGGCAGCGAAGCTACTATAAAAAAAATTTATGTCAAAATTAGCTTTTTTGTCGCGATAATAATTGTCGTTGGTCTGATAGAAAACCATCCTTATTGTGTACATTATGTGTATATTATGGTTCTATTCGTAGTCAGAGAAACCTATGGTCATATTATACTCCTATTTCATTTTAAAAAAGAATATATTAAATTATCGAGAAATTTAACCATAAGGTTATCAAACAAGTTCGGGGGTTGTGTTTATAAATTTTATCAGAAAAATCTTGTAACATTCGCAAAAGTTTTCCTTTGTATTTAGGTAATTTACATTATTTCATAATCGTTTAATAATATCACACGTAAATTAATTGATAAACAACTTCATTCTGTCAACATAAACTGTACTCCTAAATCACATTTATAATAAAGCTTTATTTGACTGCTTGGCCCTGTTACATTAAACGGGTAGTGTTTCAATTGAAAATGTTAAATGGCATGGTTGTTGTTCAGCAGGCTGTACAATAAGTAACTACATTTACTGATAACTGATAAGCATTGCTACGCAAAGCCTGTACATAACCTTTGGACCATGATTTTGCTATGTTCAAAATCGTACTAGGTGTGCCACTTACTGTGCTAGTACTTTCAGTGGTGTTGCCTTGGTTTTTTGTGATGAACCCTCCCTCTGCAGGTAGGTTTTATATTTAAAAACCTGCATGGTATGTTCCGTTTTTGGTGTAAACTTTCGGTGCGCACTGTACACTTTGGTTGATTGCAATGTATGTACACTTATTTACCTAAATAAGACGTGGAAGGAAAGGGTAGCGAGACTTTCTGTGAACTAAATGCTATACAACTAAAACTAAATTCATCCTTTTTGTATACATATTTTCAATACCTCTGTATTTTGGTACTATCATTGAAAAACACTAGTAAATTTGTGTTATTAAAACATATATTTTTAAGTAGTGTTAAAATACATTTACTATATATTGATGAGAACTGTGTTATTAATAGAATGCCCATTCAAAATAGCATTTATAATGAAATGGGATATTGCAGGTATAGCCAGACATAGTAAGTGTTGGAAGATTTATATATTGCTATATAATCTCTACAGTGTTACTCTGTATTTACATAAATGGTACAGTATATATATATATATATTAATAAAAACTTGCAGAGATGCCAATGGCGAACAGTGGACTAATATTTGTTTCGAGTGCAGCTAAAGTGCATAATGTTTGCCAGAAAGTCAGTAGATTAGTGCAAAAGGTGCTGTATATAAAAATTAACAGCAGTTCTGAGACTGCTTTGTCTTTGATCAGCAGACAGATTGCACAAGTTTATTCTAAGGTAAAATATTTTTGCTCTTGCTTAGGTTTAAACTATTTGAATTTCTTAAAATCGTGTGAGTTTTGCATCTTGTCGCATCTGCACATTTTAATATGCAGGCAGTTTTCAAACAGTTTCTCTAAAGACGAACTCTTTGAAAACTGCAGACTTATTTCCTGAATAACTATAACTTAATATGTATATATAAAAAAAAACAAAAAGATTCCCCGACATTTGAGGTGGTACACCATACACTCTTTATCAGGCCACACACTACTGCAACAATTTGGATGTAAGACTAATGCTGAAACCTAATGAGCCTATGAAGAATTTGAAGACAAGTCAACCTATAGACTTGATTCTCTATGACAGTGAGCTAACTAAAGATATAGACAAGCTCAAACATACTGTCGTCACGCTGAGTAGTGATTATAAGCTACATTATTTGGGTGAGTTTGGTATTGATTTTACATGATAAAATACTTACTTTCATATGTGCATACTAAGTATATAAGTATGTTTAACAATAATATTAAAATGTTCGTATTATGTACACTGCCAACATCATCCTTTTGTCTGTTCAGGTTTTCTTTAATATTGTCCACTTTACATAAGTTATGAATTGTTAGAAGTCTGACATTCTAACATTTAACAGTCATTACTTTAAAAAACTTTTAAACAGGTACTTCTCTAGAATCAATTGGTGAAGATGTGGCCAATGACCAGCAGCCTGTGAAACAGTATGAGTATGTGGCGCTAGGAGGCACTTTCGACCGCCTGCACAATGGACATAAAATACTCTTATCTCAGGCTGTGTTACGGTCTACCAAACATCTAACTGTCGGGGTTACTGATGTTAACATGATACAATGTAAGACATTTATATCTTATGAATCGCATCAATCAATCAATTTTTTTACAAACATGGTGGTAAACATGTAAAAAATTTGTGAAGAAGTGGCATTCGATAATCCTAATTTCATTTATTGATATTCAGATAGTCATTGTTTATCATAGTTTTATATTTTTAATAATAATAACAATTTGCCATACAACCACAGTAATTAACATCTCAAACTGGGAAACTCCTGGGAATTCCTTGGGAATTCCCTATACTAAGAGTGCCACAGCAATGGATTTCAATTCAGAGCGCTACCCAGAACACCCAATCAAAATCCAATTTTGGAAAAGTTAATTTCCTAAATTGGACCTACAAGGTCGTCACATTATACCATCAAAAGTGTCTTTGATTTGATTCCGTTTTTGCCAATTACTGAGTTCAATTTTCCTATTATTTGTTTAACACTAATAGTTTTTTAATTCATAATTTTCATAAATTTTCACAATTCATAATTTAAAAAAATGAATAAATAATAAAGATATTTTTATTTCATTTTTACAGGGTAATTAAGTATGTTAAAAAAAACCTTGATTCTAGACATTTTTGATGTGTGTAATAATAATAAATGCTTAATTGAAGGTAATATAGGTATATACCTATATTTTTAACACAAAACACATGCACGACTCTAAATTTCATGTATGTTAATGATGTAAATAACTCATTTTCGTCAACATTTTGAGTTACGTTCACGTGTTGTAAAGGACGATTGCGTGACGTAGAACCGCGCTAGTACCTATTTGTAATACATGTGATACCCTTTCTGTATTTCATACTTTCGATACAAAGCTAATGAATTGAAAAAGATATAATAGGTAACAGATTTAAATGGACCTGACTGTAGCATGCATCAAACCTATACTTTTGATTGTTTAATAATTTATGACTAAATACTAAATAATTTATCGTGTATTACAGCTAAAAAGCTATGGGAATTAATTGAACCAGTTGAAAAGAGGATAGCAGCAGTGCTTGAATTTGTAATAGATATTAATCCAGATTTAGAATATTGTGTACTTCCTATTCAAGATATATATGGACCCACAAAAGACGATCCTAAATATCAGGCAAGTTATGCTTTGAGCGAATTAGTTGGTTATTTAACAATTTTTTTTTGGGTATTGCATCCAGGAAAGTAATGTAATGGTACTATACTAGTGATAATCATTTAGTGAATAACCACGAAAGTCTTAAAATCTATAAAAAAAAATCTATAATGTAATGGTTTTTAAAAGTTATGTATAACTTGGTACTTGGTGCAACGGGCTGGTATCCGCAATTCGACGACAAAGCGCCTATTTTGCGTGTAAGTTATGTATAATTAGCGAATAATATTTTATTTTATGCAATTTTTGACAGATGTTAGTGGTAAGTGAAGAAACAATCAAAGGTGGTGTGAAAGTAAATGAGAAAAGAGTAGAAAATGGTATTCCTAAACTAGACACGTATGTGATTGGGTTGGCAACGGACGCGCAGCAGTCTGCTGAAGAAGAGACTAAAGTCAGCTCCAGTAATCAGAGGATGCGACTTTTGGGTACTATACTTAGGCCACCCGTGGTAAGCAAAAGCATAAGTACATATTACCTTTGAGTAGCAGTAGAGCTCCTTGTAAAAGAGTTCATCCAGGGAAGTACTGTCTTACTTATTTCTGCCGCCAAGCAGTAATGTCAGTATTACTGCGTTCCGGTTTTGAAGGGTAAGGGTCCTGATGAAATTACAGGCACATGGGACTTGTCAACTTATGTCTCAGGATGACGGACCCAGCGGCAGTGCCACTGCAACTGTTATGAACAGGCGCACGATTTAATCGTCCCGTCACTTGATATTAAAAAAAACTAGTATTGTTTGTCGTGACTAATATACAATAATAAACTTAATTATTATACATTTTTCAGCCAAACCCTAAAATTCCAGAATGGCCCTATGTAATCGGCTTGGCAGGCGGTATTGCGAGTGGAAAAAGCAACATTGCGGAAAAGTTGAAGTTAGTTTTTTACAATTGGTCTTTTCTTTCCAAATAAATAAATTTTGGTCCTTTACTTTTAAGCAACATTACGAGTGTCACGTCGCTTTTTCTCTCACTTAGATCATTATCAACTTCCTGCTTCTTTTTGTCTTCTGTAAGAATTCAGATTTAGTTTCAGTCATAGCTCGCATTTTCAAAGACTTGTCTAAAAAAACCAAACTATATCTCTCTTCGGATCTTTTAGATTCATAACTATGACACATTCGTTTTTTTTACTTTTACTTTACTATATTTATAACTTCATCAACATTATTATTAATGAAAATATTTACCTATAGTGCGAAAGGCGCAGCTATAGTGAACTGCGATTTCATAGCGCACGATCTGTACAAGCCAGGTCTGCCGCTCAATCAGACAATTGCCGAGACTTTTGGTACCCATGTGATCGCAGAAAACGGAGATGTTGACCGCAAGAAGTTGGGGAGCATTGTTTTTGGGGATAAGGTGGGTAATTCGCTTATCAAGGTCAATGTTGGCATTCAACATTTGATAGACAGTATATTGTTTCCCACCATTTTCCCACCTATACATTAGGGACGTACATTGGTATGTACAAACATTTGCAACTTGTATGAATGCTCTGTGGTGTGTCGAGGTAGTAAGGTAAGAAGTTGCTTTGGAGGCGCTAGACCCTTTTTTAGCCAACTTACACTGCTATTTCATGCTGTTTGTTTCTTTATTTGCTAACAAGGTTGTCTCAAAGAGATCGCTTCCAGCTATAAGGCCACGTTTGCCCACATTACTTTAAGTTGTCTATGTACCGTTTTTGGATTTTGAATGTGCGAGCAATAAAGATCTATCTATCTATTTATAACATTATGTTCACAACATATTTTTATCTTATTTAAGTTAGGTATTCTACCACAGTCTAACCAATTTTGTTCTTTGCACTGTAGTTCTACACTGTAAAAACAACAATTATAAGAGTGTTGACGGCAATCTCAAATGTTATATCTAATAGTAATAAAAGCACTGTTCGAATGCTATAATATTTCAGATTCACAGTGGTCGTGTTAACCCGTTTCGAAAATTCGAGAAAAAAGCTCATTCATTTCTTTTACTTTTTACTGCAATTAATTTTACAAGCTTACCAACATCTAAAATTATTAAAAATAATGTTCTAATCACCGCCTTCGCGCTGTGGGCCACCGTAGGACGCTACCGGTAGTAAAAGCTAACGACGATCGAAATGTAGCATTCAGACCGCGCTGTTGCTATTGGATATAAAACATTCATGCGTTGAGGGCTTTATTTCATACATCTTCTCATGGTACCCTTTTAAGGGTTCGAACACAATTACTGAAAAGGAACCCTTTTATATCGACTTCGGTGTCTGACTGACATACACGGCTGCGTTTCTCGGAAACTACTATTGCTTTAATTAATTTTGTTTCTTAGACAGAAGCTTACAAAGATTTTTTTTTAAGGAACAACTTGAGAAGCTGAATCAGATCTTGTGGCCAGCTATCTTGGAGGAAGCTCAAAGGCGCATTCGTGCACTTGGAGAACAGGGTTTCCGTGTGGTAGTGATGGAAGCTGCTGTAGTGGTGCGCGCTCATTGGTACAATTACTGCCATCAGCTTTGGTCCGTTATCATTCCTCCTAACGAGGTGAGGCATCATATTTTTACCTCTTTTTTCAAGCGCCTTTTCTCGTGACTATTTACAATATAGCGAAAAGGCCTTACCTGACGCGGTGTGAAGATGGTCTTCGACCAATGTTAATTCCGCGTGTCTAACTTATGTAGCTTTGTTATGCTGTTAGCCAGACCAAGACAAAAGCTGTCAAATTAGAATGTAGCACTGTGGCTGAATTAGACGAATCTGCTTTTAAAATCTTTACCTTCCTTAATTTTTGGTGTTCCGTAGCCAAAATGGGCAAAACGGAACTTTGTATATTTGTCTGTTTGCATAGATTCAAATGAAAAGTGTTTTGTTTAGTGACGTTACGAGGATAAATCATTTTGGGGTATCTCACCATTACAGAAAACTAAAGAATAAAATATATTGTTTCGCATCCCCTATTGAATAGGTCGCACTAGGATGGGTGCCCAAAAATATAACAATCCTTTAGGCTGGGATTTGTAAAACGAACTTTGATTTCAACTAAGCTAAATGACTATCTGAACAAGTTTTTCGTATTATATATATTTTTTTTAATTTATAAAATACCTACTTTGCCTAAGTTTAAGCAAGAAATCACGAGTAAATTCGAAGTTTATTTTAAATTCTTGCTTACACTTAGGGCAAAAATAGGCGGAAAATTGCTTAGCTCGCCATTTTTGTTTAGTCCAAGTCAAAGTCCGTTTTATAAAACTCAGCCTTAGTGGTTTTGTCTCTTTTTATCTAGGTGAATATTTAGCGAATATTGTAATTATAGATATACTTAAATGAAAATGCATAAGGTAGTATTTGGTGTTGCGATCGTCTCAGTTATTTATTAGTTAATGTATGTATGTAACCCTCAGCTGAGGTGCGTCAGACGTGCCCCTGGTCGGTTTTGAATTAATGATACATTACTTTTTTTGTCAGGCAATAAAGAGACTTCAGAAGCGTAATAATCTAACAGAAGAAGAAGCAAGGCACCGGTTAGAAGCACAGCCTACAAATTTAGAACAAGTGGCACACGCCAACGTCGTATTCAGCCCGTTTTGGAGTTATGAATACACGCAGCAACAAGTCGACAAGGCTTGGGATAATTTACAGCAGTACTTGAATGAACGGAAGGGTGATACTGCCAAGTTGTGAATATTGTCTTGGTAAGTAAAGGTGCAACAGGGCAACAATCTGTGGATACATACATCGGACTAGATTGAGAAGACGGTGGGTACCCTGAGCAAACCGCTTGCAAGTGGTACCGTTTTCTCATCTACAACACGTACACATACGTTATAATTTAATAAGCAGAGAAGAGCAAGGTATTTAAATAAGCAGTTTCTGATATTCACAAAATGAATAGATGCCAAAATATCTACTAACACTATGACCCAGCACCCAATAACAAGACGGCATGACAGCAGGGGGTTTTTATGTGACGCATAGAAACATACTTCAATGTTGTTACATTACAGTTGAATTTTTAATGATAATGGTCGTAGCTTTGAAAACAAAGCTGCGTCAAGCTTAGGGATAGCGAGTAGGCAATCGCCGTCACGCCTCGATAAAAACCTTCGGGATGCTTCGGCAGGCTTTTGCGTTTAGGCTCGGCGCTCAATGACGGCACGGGACGGCAAGTAGTTAATATACCTTAACATTGCGACATTATAGTTGCAATTTCAATGATAATGATAGTAACTGCAAAATAATGTAACTAACAAAATAATGTAATGTAACTAACTATAGACCCATCTCTAAATTGTGTGTTTTGTCTAAGGTGATGGAAAAAATTGTTTATACTCAAGTTTATTCGGCTTTGAAAAACTCATTTAGTCATACTCAACATGGCTTCCTTCGGAAAAGGTCTACAGTATCAAATCTAGTATTGTTAAATGAATACGTCTCCTCGTCTATGGACAAAGGATACCAAGTGGATGTCATCTATACTGATTACAGTAAAGCATTTGATAGAATTGATCATGTTATCCTTTTGACTAAACTTTCCAAAATTGGTATCAGAGGTGATCTTTTGCGGTGGTTCTCTTCATATATTAATAACAGATCTCAAGCGGTAGTCGTTAATAATTATATATCCAGTTGGGTTACTATACCTAGCGGTGTGCCACAAGGTTCATTATTAGGGCCGCTGCTTTTTAATATTTTTGTTAACGACATTGGTGATTGCTTTCGCTTCTCTAATCTGCTGAGCTTCGCAGATGATATGAAAATATATGCCAAGATTTCTTCAGTTGATGACGCTACTGCTCTTCAATCTGATTTATCTCGTCTTGATGACTACTGTGTTAGCAATAAGCTGGACCTTAACCCCTCTAAATGTTTCTCAATGACTTTTTCGCGTAAGTTTGATAATATATGTACCTCGTATAGCTTGAGAAACATTAATCTTCAACATAAGATAATGATGAAAGATCTAGGGGTCATTCATGATTCTAAGCTAATTTTTGATACTCATATAGATGCTATTGTTTCTCAAGCTATTAAGTCACTTGGATTCATAATACGGAATTCAGTTAGTTTCTCAAGACCTAAAACTTTCCGAATATTGTATTGTGCGTATGTACGTAGTAAATTGGAATATGCCTCCCAAATTTGGAATCCATGTTATCAAATTTATGTAGACAGAGTTGAACGAGTCCAGAAAAAATTTATGAAAATCTTGTGTTATAAAATGGGCAAGTCTTTTAATTCAATCGAATATCTACGTCTTTGTAAGGATCAACACATATTGCCTCTTATTACTCGCCGGAATATTGCTGATTTAGTGTATTTGTTTAACATCATAAATGGTGATGTCGACTGTCCCGAATTACTGAGTAGTATTGTGTTTAATATACCTACGCGTTCCATGAGATACTATCGTCCTGTTGCGGTTCCGCTGGCGAGGACTAAATATAGACAAAACAGTTTTCTGTATAGGGCTTGCAAGAATTTAAACGATGTGTTGAGCAGGATTGGACTTGATATTGACATTTTCAATTCTAATTCGAACTCATTAAAGCGTAAACTTGTGGACGCGTTTGTTTAACGGGTGATCATTTCGTGGCGCAGGTATTGGGATATATGTGGTTTGCATTGCGTACATGCATGCATATGTATATATGTGTGTATGTGTGTATGTACATATATGTAGATATATATATAAGTATATATTAAGTTTATTTGTTGTGACTACTTTCTAAGTGCTCATTGTTTAGTTATTATGTTATTATAAGCGAAAACCTTTAATTGGCTGTAATGTATTTGTTGATGTTTTTTAATTTTTTGTAAAGCTGTTGGTTTTCCATGAATAAATAAATAAATAAATAAATAAAGCTGCGGTATGCTTAGGGATGCAGGCAGCCTCCGGAATGCCTCGGCAGCCTTCGAGATACTTCGGCAACCGTCGGGCAGCTTCAGACGGCCAAGTGCGACTATGCGGGGCGAAGCGAGTCACGCACGGCAAGACTGATCTGAAGAGAGACTAGCAGGCGCGAGCACGATGTCGCGATGGAATGCTTCGGCATGGCTAACGACTCTTAGGCATGCCATAATACGTAATATATTATATATATTTGCCATCAGTGTGCGCTTGCATGTAGTGGGCGCCGGGCCTTAATGTTAACGACATAACGTCGTATCGTAACATTATGCTTCGGCATGCCTAAGGGTATCGCTGAATATTTGCCGTCAGTGTGCGCTCACACGTAGGGATGCCGAATTAACCCTTGCTGTACCGCCCCGCCAATGGGCGCCGAACCTATTGGTTGTTTAGATATCACTTATGTTCTCTGCTTTTCACCTAGAACAATTCCGACATCTATCCACACGATTGTATGTTGTATGAATGTATGATGTATGAATCAGATTTTAGGTATCGCTTTAGAAGCGCGGTGGTACTCTGTTCATATACATTGGTTGTCTAGTTGGAGCATGACGTCCATTACTCATGTTTTGTCGACGCGGTTTAATGTTAGATGACATTGTAAAAGAATTGCGATAAATATATTTTAACATCAATCCCATGACGACAAAGGAAATTATTCGTAAAAAGTAGTGAAACTACTCTTTCGTTGTATACTATGCTTTTTGGTTATATAATATGCAACGGTTACGGTTACAGCTCGCTAGTAAATACCCCGCTTTCCGGTGTATGAATGCCTTTTTTTGTTTATACTATTGGTAAAGGAAGACTGCGTATGTATGCACAAGTACCTAAGTACTGGCAATGTATTATAGGTATCTAATTCATGTGAATAAGTAAAAAATATATATTAAAATATTATTGTTGTTTTATAGTTATTTGTAACATATTGTTGATGTTTAATAAATATATTTTTTTACAGAGGATTGCTTTTCAATTAAATTTTTATTGACTTTAGTCACCTACCTATTTCAAATATATTCTTATGGTCTGTTTTTTTTGATGACGGAGTAAAATGACAGTTTATTGTGCGAAAGCGTTGCGCGCTTGCGAGCAGCCAGTGATTGCAGTCGATAAATATTCTATCGACTATCGACTGACAATTGGTCACGCTTATGGAATAAATAGCCGAACTTGTTTCATTTGAATCGTCCTAGACCTCATTCATCCAATAACTGAGTACAGGTTCATTTGAATTGTCAGTTTTTTGTAAGTTCATGCATATGTATATCTGTATTTAGAAATATGTTTACGAAAAATGCAAAGAGTAGACATATTTTAAACTTTTTCATTTTAATTCAATATAGATAATCAAATCCAGATATTCTTGTTAAAATGTATACGAATAATAATTGATCTCGATACGAGTAGGCCAACTGTCAAGATAAGAATAAACAAGGTAATAACGCAATTAGAAATCATAAGAACATCATAACATCCACAATTCAATCATTTTTGGCAAAATTTTATCTTTCTCAATCTTTCGATAAAACTCGCAACTACATAACTATTTAAAATTTTATGAAAACTGGCAACCCTACAAATGTCGTTTTACTCTGTCTTCAAAAAAGACAGACTATAGTTCTTTAGGAAATGAAACTATTTTTCCGGATTTAAATCGCGTATATATGTTTTTTCAAACGTCGACCATTTTAGACCAGGCAGCTATTTATGGTTTACTTCCGTACGATAAACAGATATGGAAAAATTATTAAAGTAAAATCAGACTAACCGATGATGTGAAACAATACCATGGATATATTTACAGGTGCCTGTCATATTTGCACACAAAAGTAGCAAAATATGGCATTTTCCATTACATACAGATTTTCGAGGTTTTGCGCAAGATAGTTGACACTACCTGTATACTAAATCTATGGTTGACACGACCTTAAACGTAAAAGTGAAAATGAAGTCCTGAGCTCAAAGTATGCGGAACTTCGCGTTCTGTTGGCATACGTGTCACGCCCACTAAGCACTTCTGCCGTATTTACACGAAATCTTTCAATACATATTGAAGTAGTAGGTACTTACAGGAAACAATTTTCTGGAACTACACGAAGTAAATAATATAATATTGTACAGGGTCAAGAACACGACGCTTAAGATTTAATTTGAACTCTACGCCGGTTACGATTAGAACGGTCGAAAGTTAAAAGCTCGATGTGCTCTTGACTGTACGTAGCTTATTATTGATTCCACTATTATGATGTTACTAAATGGAATTTTTTATCAAATATGATACTTATCTGAAATGAGATTGATTCCTGCATATTGATGACGCTTTCTATAAACAGGCCAGTATTTTGTTTCCATATTTATTTCATCGCTACTAGCCATTTGGTAAGCAGCAACATGAATTGGGCTATACTAATATGTACGGGGCTATGGCTTCAATTTGTTAACGCAAATATTACTCATTTTCTTGAAAAAGATACGAGGGACCGGAAGCTGGAGATGCTCGTGAGTATTGCGTTATTTTATGAACAAGAAGGTCTATATTCCACTGTCACCATATTTGAGTATTTGACTAATCAACTGAAAGTACCTAGTCATTTAGTTAGTTCTAATCGCAAAAGACAAGGTTTAGTCAGTCCGTGTCGTTTCAAATTTACAAGGATGCTTTACTGCCCGCGTTGGAACTATTTTACTGTTCTCGAGCTCCAGAACCACACTCCTACTTTAGAACTTATTGCACCCAAAAATTCACGTGTTCTAGTAGCAAAATTATTAATATATGTATATAAATTACAATTAGTAAATCTACGAATGTGTGAGTTAGACCCTGTTCGTCAGCACTTCCCGTTTCAGTATTGGCAGCAGCGCAAAACTATATAGCCGCATAGCCTGAGCAATGCTTTTGCGTGATATAATCGACAGCAAATTCTTGTAATTAAATTCTATGTTGGGTTATGTAACCCTAAAAGTTAATACCTATAGAAAATTATATACTTAAAGGAGTTCGATTTTTACTACGGAACTCAGCCTAGTTCATGTCGAGCCGTAGCTAGCCATTTAGACAATTTTAAATAAATCCTATACAAATCAAATACTACCCCTAAAAGTGTTTAGTTTAGCTATAGGTACATGTACCTAGTACAATAAAATATAAACACAATAAGTAGGTTAGACAAGTGATATCGCTGTTTCTTCATACTGTGATCACACTACGCAGCCCTCACAGGTGTGATATCGATACAGTCAAAATATGAATGCGTGCTTACAAGTGGGGTTCACGTCAAGAGCGCTAACGTATTTTTTTTAAATAACTTCCCTATTCATTGTGTATAATGTTATAGACAGATATCATCAAATTCAACGTGAAAGCAAATGGCTGGAAGAATATTCTCTTCGTGGGACGTTTACCAGATCCCGTATACGACATTGCCAAACACCTGCAGCTCACCTTCTCCGTTATCGACCCGGATGCTGAAACCCCAGAGTTACAAGCAGACGTTCAGCCCTATGCTTCAAAAATTGTAATAATTAATTGTAAAGACTTCGAAGTCCTGGAAGACTCCCTTGGAGAAGCAATCAGTTCTCCATACTGGAACCCTCACGCACAACTTATTCTATACTATCATACGAGAGTAACAAATGAAAATGCGAAAATATTTTTCATTTTCTGGTTTTATATGATCGTTAATGCCGTTATAGTACAGTACGACGATTCTAAAGAGTTATTACTCATTTCCTATTACAACCCATATGTAAGCGAAAACAACAAATTTGAAAATATGCACGGATGTTGGAAAACTACTAAAGTTGGGAGACCGGTTGTTGGATACAAACAGAGCTTTGTCTGTGAGGAAGATTGTCATAACATTACATTGCACTCAAAACTAAGAGCCTTACATTTAGGGACTTGTATTGGCTACAACACTCATTATATAAGATATGGTGACATTCGTTTATTGAGACAACTTAACGTTTTCAAAGATATAAGTAAAGATTTGCGAGGATACGTGATGAAAACCAACGGTTTTGAAGTACTGCCCTTTCTAGAAATAAACGAGGAGAGCGACGGAAGTTACAGTTTAGGCTCTAGAGATGGACTGGTGTGGAAAACATTGTCTGAACTTATGAATTTCACTATCAACTTTGATGCGTGCAAAGACATTTTAAAGAAACCATTTAACTATAAACTTTATATAGAGCTCACATTTTCATTCGCCGCAAGACAAGCAGACCTTTTTATTTGTCCTGTTTACCAGTTCGATCTAGTTTTCATAAAGGTAGATTTGAGCTGTGAGTATAAGGCTAGTGGAGTATGCATTCTTTCACATCGTTCTAATTTTGAAACAGTTTTGTTCGACGTAAAGCTATTCCAACAGAATAGCACGCTTATTATACAATTTGTAGTTTGCTTTCTTTGCATTTGGCTTACTTTCTACATCCACAATGTCGCAAAAGGACTGTGGAGCTTCGATCAATTCGGTAAAGATTTTATCAATACTATAAGAAATGTTTTGTCCATCGGTTTGTACAAACCACCTATGCAACGATCTTTCAGAATGTTTTTGATTATTTCCATATGGTGTTTTTTTATATTGAACTTTAGTATTCAAGCTACCATCGTTTCTTTTTTTAGTGCTTATAAACGTGGGAAAGATGTAGACACATTTGAAGATGTTTTAGAAAAAGGGTACGCGATCGAAGCTTTGGTTTCTCCGGACATGATTTTACCTGACACAGAAGATCTTTACAGAAAAATCAATTCTCGCGTTAAACCTCTCATGAACATGTTTGATTGTGTCGATAGATTGGCCAATGATAGCGAAAGGTTCTGTCTCATAGACTGTTCGACGGGACTTTACCTTGAGAGGAACAGATTAAATGAAAAGGGCGTTCAGTATTTACACGTAGCCAGGAAAAATAGAATGCACAGTAATTATCTATCTCTAGTACTTCACGAAAATTCACCCTTAACAGCTAGGATTAATAAATACCTACGTTGGTTTGTCGAAGTGGGCCTGATACAAAAATGGGAACAATACAGATTTACTGAAATAAAAGAAGACTTTCCAGTAAAGCCGCTGAGCATGAAAGATATGTTAGGCATTTTCGAATGTTTTTATTTACTTCTTGGTTTAAGTTTTACAATGTTTATATCAGAAGTAACAATTAAAACTTTTATTCGACTCAGGCGATGGTCGGCAATGAAAATAACTCGCTGGAAGCGAACAAGGATCGCTAAAAGAAAATTGAATCTGGATAAAAAAGTTGGAAAATTTAAATTAGAAAATGTATCAACTCAAACTCTCTAAACTTCAATTAGCTGTTCCTTTCGTTCTCCTTTCTGATAATGTCGCCGTGTAGTAGTTTTTTTAAGCTAAACTTGTACAGAATCACCTATTTCGGTTCCCATACGATGTTGAGTCCTATAATAGGCATTCCTTCTTATCTTACGGGATTTAAATTGTTATATAGGGATTTGTGCGAAGTTGGTTATTTGGATAACATACTGCCCTTAATACATCGAGTATATAACCAGAAATAGAGACGAAATGTCATTTCAGTCCATTAGGGCTATGTTTCAGTCAGTCGAAATGTTTGAAAACTATTCTGCCATATGACAACTGCGCTCCGATTGGCTAGCCCGAGTTCGAAACAATTGACGGGTGTCGTCAACTGTTTTACTTCAAATCGACCAGTTAACTTGAGCTTTGCTATAATGGACTAAAATTGCAAAATTACATATTTAATATTTAATTACCGATGAAATGTGATTCCGTTTGTTTTTTAATTAGATATTTTGCTGTTTTTCCCACACCACCGAACAGAACAGCACGGCATTGTTAGAGATATTATCTTTATTACAATAAATACAGAATATTTTTTGGAATATGCAGAGACGTACACACATGTCATTATTTGGCCTGTCTATATTTCAGTGCAAACGAGAGTTGATAGATATCTATAAGATCTATCTATAAGAGCTGTATCGCTAATGTGATACCAGGAATATATGGCCCTTTTTTCGTCTCTATTTCTGGTTATATACTCGATGCCTTAAAATGACCAATATAAGTATTTAAATAAATTGTAATGTTGATATGTAATAAAAAGGGATATTAAATCTAAATAGTTGAACAAAACTGAAAGCGTAGGTATTCTAAGCACAAAACTTGTTTAGATTTAACGTTTACCCAAAGAGTACAATACCTATTGATAAAATATTGTTACGCGTACTATCCGCAAAAAGCCAAGAAAACGCAAGAAAAAAAAACATTTCTTTGACGTTTGTTTTTGTTTGTGTCTTGCTAGCTCTAGCTTGTCTGTTGCTTGTAGTTGTTTATGGTGGTTTGTGGTTCGAATTATCTCACAAATAAATCTGGAAAATTAGAAACACAGTTCTAGCACACTAACAATTGGGTCATGACAAAACGGTATTGAGTGAATTTAATGGGAAATTCGCATAACAAAAGCATCCAGAACCGTAGCCACAAGCAATCTACGCAGTCAGACCGCGGCGGCCAAGCGTTCACAAGTCAGGTAAATGATGAAACGCAAACTTGCTAATGTCATTCTCAGCTGAACATACGTAATATTTTGCTAGTTGTAGCTTGAAAATCCTTTGTTCAGTTACTTTGTGTGTTTGGTGTTGTGTGGAGACAGTTGTGCCAGTTTTGTAGTGTTTGACTGCTCTTTGTTACGGAAGTAATGCGAGTTAATTTGTGTGTGTAGTTCAGCATATCGCATTTCGTGGGCAACCTGAGCGGGCGGTCGCTGGCGAGTGTCGCGAGCAACCAGTCGGTGTACAGCGCATCGCGGCCTTGGTCTCGGGTTTCCCGACGAAGGTCAGTGCTTAGCCCTTGCCTTCATAAACATAACAAACATTGTTTTCATTTTAAACCTCCGTCATAAGTATCTACTTATATCTTAATACTACTCTCCATGATTTGCAATTTCATGTGAAGTTTGTACAGCATGTGGTTTTTTTTTTTTAATAAAAAGACTATTCTTTTTTTACTGATACACAAGTGTGACATCTTGCCTTTCTCATTTTTTATTTTTATTAATTATCTATGAAAAAACAGGTGAATCATAATTATTATACCTTTTGGAGTCCACATGGTAATTTTCTATTTTTAGTTATTATCCCAAAAGTTGAACATTTCAAACAAACTTATGCACTGTCTTGGGATAACAAATAGTAAAGTAGAAATAGAACAATTTTGTAATCAAAATCAATAAACTAGTTAAACATTTTAGGTGGAATGATACAACTTTAAGGAACCCTCTTGAAGCCAGCAAAACAGCTTGGCCAGTCACTCATCAGGAGTCTTTATTTCTTCCCGAATTTCCCATCACAAGTGACCTACTTCAGAAAGATTTTGAAATTGTAGAAACTATAGCTAAAGGTGCATTTGGAGAGGTTTATAAAGTGAACAAAGTCAGTGAAGGCAAAGAGTATGCACTGAAAGTTCTTAGTAAATCCCAGGTGAGTATTTTTGTGTTTTATTTTAACTAGAATCTGACCCAAGTGAACCCAACATTATACTAAATGTTGAGTTTGTTGGCTTCACAATTGGCTAATTGTACTGCTATTGTATTAGCTAGTTGTAACTGGGTATTAGTGGCATATTCCATTTATATGGTTGCTGAGTGTGTATAATTTGGATGTAATATTTCTGGAGAATGAAATAAAATACACGGTATATAATTTTGTTAGCACACATTGTTTATAATTAGCATTATTTATTAGAGATACCTTTTTTAGATGTTACCATTCTATTTTTAACATATTTAAAGAAATGATTTATTTGAAAGAAGAAATGATAAATTTCCTTTAAAATAAGAAATTAAAATGCATAACTTAGGTTTATCTCTCTGGGTTAAGGTATTTAAATTAATGTGTTGCTTTATTTTATAATGTCTTTGTTACATTTTATAGAATTGTTACTCTAGTATTGACATTAGTCTTTTGATTTTTACCCAGAATTAATATATAGGCTTTTAGCATCAGCACAAAAAATGTAATGCAATTAATGTAGTGACATATTCCATAGATATTCAAAAAGTTTCTCAAGTTTCATCTATTTCCACTAATGCTAAACTGCCTTCAGATTTCTTAGTTTTCGGTGTCAACAGTGTCAGAATAAGTCAACGTGCAATATAATATAATCTCAGTACAGAGTAGTAAAAAACTGATCTTGAAATTCATTCATCCCCTAGTTTGCCAGCCTTAGAGGTGGAACATTTTCTTCACATTTAAATAGGACCACTATGGAGGTACCCTCTTTCCAACAAAAAAAGAATCAAACAGGCAGTTGAATTGAGAACCTCTTCCTTTTTTGTGAAGTCGGTTAAAAAGAAAATACAAATGAATAGTATGTAAATATGTCAAATGAATCTGTCATACATTGCTCGTACTGATATTTATTATACAAAATTATCAAGAACACATGAAAAATTACCAATCATACACCTGAGTAAAAACAATAATAATCAAAAACCAAAATAGTCAAGAACATATGACACATAAAATACAAATTATAAGAAACATGCATTCCAAGTTTACTTGTGAAATAGCCTATATTAACATTTTCATCTGAAAGTCTGTAACAGTTCAGGTATTCCATGTTATAGTTACAGCATATTTAAAGTAATCCTAGGAACAGCCAAAGACATAGATTTCTTAAGTTAGAGATCCCTATCATGTAGTTGCTCTAACCACCTCGCAAGCTACTACATAGGTAAATAGGTATTTTTAAAATTGACTGTAAAAAATACACATTTAAAGCAATTTAACTTACACATACTGAGATACTGATTCTTATATAAATAAGATATAATGTGATCTCATCTTGGTACTGCCTTACAAAAAATCCAAGGAGTCTCTTCAAAATGTTCAGAACACTTTCTGAACATTTTGAATAGACTTCTTGGATTTTTTTAACAGGGAACAATGCTAAAGAGTTGCAAAACAGAGACACAGAGAGTGCTGATAAATGGTCAGATTACATCTGGTTAGTCAGGATATACTATAATAATAATAATCTTTATTTCTCTCTTACAAAGTTACCTATAAATAAGTAATTAATATTATGGACTTGTCATTAATACATCTTTGTAAGAGACACAAGTCCATACTAGGATTTGACCTGTGTTATGGATCTCCAGGCACTCACCAACCGGAATTGGTACTGTATTGTACGTAATATGAAAGCGTTACCATGTTCTAAATTACAGAGAGCAGGTTTTATACAAGATTATTATAATAATACGAAAGAAAAGAAAGTATAGTAAACTATGGTAACTTGGTACTTGGTGCAACGGGCTGGTGTCCGCAACTCGACGTCAAGGCGCCTATTTTGCGTGTGGTGGGTGCAGGGTCCTACTCGTGCCACCCAAGCTCCTCCAGGAATCTCAGCAGCCTCCTCGGTTTGCTGAAGACTTCGGGGAGCGACCTTGGCACTCCAAGGTACTTTGCCCTGTAGTTGGCCACGCCGGAGCACTGTAGTAGGATGTGCGCAGCCGTTTCCTCCCCCTCCATGCACGCTCTGCATAGAGGGCTGTCTGTGATACCTAAACTGAAAAGGTGTTTATTGTATGGACCATGACCCGTTAGGGCGGCAGTTAGAGTGCGAAGCTCTTGCCTTTTGAGTTTAATAAATATGCGAGATAGACTGGCATCGAGCGTTGGGAGTGCTTCCCTCGCCTGTCTACAGACCGTAAGGGTCGTCCATGCATTATTATGTGACAATTTTGTACCTTTGTGCATAGTTGTTCTGAACCATTGGTAGGGGAGGGATACTATGGGTTCTGGTCCTACAGCGTCCATCTCCGACCCTTTTCTGGCTAGTTCATCTGCCGCATCATTGCCACGTGAGCCGCTGTGTCCTTTAATCCACTGTAGGGTTACGTGGTTTTGTATACATACCTCCATTAGTACTTGATGGTATTCATAAATGAGCCCTGAGTCTATGTCATAGCTATTCAGTGCTTGTAGCACTGACATACTATCGGAGAGTATTCGAATGGAGTGGTTCTTAACTCTTCTCGCTATGATTGCTTCTGCCGCCAGCTTGATGCCCATGCATTCAGCCTGGAATACTGTGTTGTGGTCACCAAGTGGTGTTGATATCCTGATATTGAGGTCTTCTGAGAATACCCCAGTACCTGTTCCTGAATTCGTTTTAGATCCGTCAGTGAAGATGCGGACCTCTCTGGGGTTCAGTCCTTCATTGGGTTCTTCAAACAATTGTATCTTGTATTTTTTGTCGAAGGTGTATTGTTTTGGGATCCTATCCACAGCCGCCTCCAGTAGCGGTTCCTCATTGACAGTCTTATAGAGGATTTCTGTGTGTGGGGTCCTCATGTGCTTCCAAAGGCCGGCTCTATTTAGACGCACTGCTGTTGACGCCGCTTCCTGTCTGATGAACAGTGGGAGGGGTCGCAGGTCCAGCATCGCTTCGAGGGCCGCAGTTGGTGTTGTCCTCATGCAGCCGGTCGTCGCCACGCAGGCGAGTCTTTGGAATTTGTCCAGCTTGTCGGTTGCAGTTGTCAGCTTGGTTCGTGGCCACCATATTATAGCGCCGTAACTGATCATGGGTCTTATCACCGCTGTGTAGAGCCATAGTGTTATCTTGGGTGAAAGTCCCCATTGTTTACCCACCATTCTATGGCACTGCCAGAAGGTGATAGTGGCTTTTTGAATTTTGTTGTTCAGATGCTTGTTCCAGTTCAACTTGTTGTCTAGTATTACCCCCAGGTACTTGACTTCGGTTGATAACTTTAGTTCTGTACTGAAGAGTTTGGGTAGTAGGTAGTTACCCAGTAGTATTTTGTTTATAAACATTACTAGTTCTGTATTTGTCGGGTTTACCGATAGTTCGTATGCTCTGCACCATCTTTCCACAATCTGGAGTGCAGCTTGTGTTATGTCGCAGAGTGTATTGGCATAATTTCCTGTTACCAGTATAGCTATGTCATCAGCATATCCTACTGTATAGAAATGTTCTTTGTTTAGTTTGATGATGAGGTCATTTACGATCATGTTCCACAGCAGCGGCGACAGTACCCCCCCTTGAGGGCACCCCTTCGCTACTATGGCCCATGGGGTCTCATTTGCTGTTGTTTTTATCGTTCTTTGTTTTAGCATGTTGCTAATCCAGCTGATCAGCACTTCATCCACTTTGTGTCTTCTCAGTGCTGATTGTATGCTGGAGAAATTGGTTTTATCGAAGGCTCCTTCAATATCTATAAAGGTGCCTAGGCAAATTGCTTTGTTTTTGAGGGCCACTTCTATCTTGCCCACAACGGCATGTAGGGCCGACTCAGTGGATTTGCCTTGGTTGTATGCATGTTGGTTTCCGTGTAATGGTATGTTCTTAAGCGTACCATCCCTCAGTTCTCTGTCACATAGCCTTTCTAATGTTTTCAGGAAGAACGATGTGAGGCTGATAGGTCTGAAGGACTTCGCGTCAGTGTAGTCGTTTTTTCCTGGTTTCGGTATAAATATAACTTTTACCTCTCGCCAGCTGTGGGGCACATAGCTGAATGCTAGACAGGCTCGAAAGATGTCGACCAGGTGCTGGACCAGTGTGTCCCCGCCCCATTGTAAGATTGCTGGGAATACTCCATCTTGGCCCGGAGCTTTGTACGGTTCAAAGGTGTTCACTGCCCATTTTGTCTTTTCGTATGTTACTACTTGTTCAGCGTATCGCCAGTTATGGATCGATGTATTATAGTTCATTTCTTCGTACCTGTCGTCTTGGACGAACCTACATCCTGGGAAATGTGTTTCCAGTAGGGTTCTCTCCGTTTCCGCAGGGGAAGTTGTGTATGTGTTGTCTATTTTGCGTATTGAACCTAACTCAGTTGAATTTGAGTTGCCTAGGATTTTCCTTATTCTGTTCGCTTGTGCACAAGACGTAATGTTCCCGCAGTAGCCTCGCCATGACGCGGTGCTCCTGAACCGTATGCGCTTTTTTAGTTTGGATTTGGCCGTCTTGTAGTTTTCCCAGTCCTCATCCGCGCATGTGTTCATTGCTCTATTGAAACGTCTCCTTACCCTTCTTCGAAGCCTCTCAAGCTCAGGCCCCCACCAGTGTTGGCCTTGTCGCGGGGCTGAGTCACTCAGTGGGCATGCGGAGTTATAGCTGTTCACTATGTTTGATGTTAGTTTTTTAACCTGTGTTTCTATGTGTGCTGTGTCCAGCAGTGTGCCCGTTTCCCCCAGGCTCTGGTGTAGTTTGTCAGTGTATAGTTTACGATCGGTTTTTCGGGGACTCCGTTTCGGTTGTTGTTCTTTGATGGCTGTTTCTAAGCTAAATCTTATCCATCTGTGGTCCGAGAAGGATGCTTCTTCGGACACGTGCCAGTCTTGGATAAGATTTACTGCTCTTTCTGATGCTAGAGTTAGGTCTATAATCGTCCTGCATCTTTTATTTACGAAGGTTGGTACAGTACCTCTATTAAGGATTTGAAGGTTAGTTGTGAATAAGTATTCTGTCAGGTTCTTACCTCTGTCATTTGCGAGTTCAATGCCCCACTACGGATGGTGGGCATTGGAGTCAGTAGCCACGACGGTATGCTGGCCGTTCTGCTCGCAGTACTTGATTAGCCGTTCCATTTCCTGCGGTGGTTGTACGTCAGTCTCCGCCATATAGACAGAGGCGAGCACCACTTCAGGTAGGCCTGTGGCCGTGTCAGCTAAAAGGTCTCTGGAACAGAATTCTGTTAGTGGCTGTACTTGTAAATTATTAGAGTAGTAGATGCAAGTTCGTGGTTTATCTGAGTTATTGGTGGATAATAGCTTACCTCTCAGATGTGAGAGTCCATTTATTTGGCCGCGGGCACTGATCCACGGTTCCTGGATCAGCGCCACGGCTGTGTTGTTTACCTCCAACCATTTCCGGAGCTGAACCGTTGCGGCCTGGCTGTGGTGGAGGTTGCTCTGGACGACTTGCAGTTTATTGAGCGAGGGGGATACCGCCATCACCAGACAGCAGCTCCACGTCCTCGTCCTCGCTCAATCGGATGTCTCCCATCCCCAACGCACACTCGTCGTCGCTAATGGACACCGCCGGGCATTCGTCGGTGTCCACAGGGTCGGGGGTCGGGGAGGGCCCTTTTCCTTCCCTGGTGATACCAGAGGAGGTAGAGGGCTCCGGGGAAACATCCATTCGTCCTGTGTCCTGTGTAGATGTGTTTTCTGGAGGCGCGTCAGTGTAGAGGCCCCTTTTCGACCTGAATCTCAGGTAGATCGTGCCCAGCTGATATGTGAAGCGCCGGCCATGCTCCAGGATAGTGGGGACCAGATCTTCAGGGAGGCTCACTACCACGAAGGTATGCCCACGTTGCTGATTCAGCTTGTGGACAAGCCAACGGTGAGCCTCCGCCCACTTGTTTTGCCACTTTTCCCATTTGCCGGGGAGTAGAAGTCCACAGACCACCCTCCGGGAAGCCTCCACCCCATTTTTCAATGAGAGGGGCTCCCCGGACGGCAGCCTGATGGTGCTGACGGCGTCCTCCAGCCACTGGAAAGTGGCCTTGTCGTGGCACCACAGTTTCAAGGCCCCATCGCCGTAGACGGGGTTTCCCCGAAACTGTGGGCCGACGTCATCCTTGAGCGAGGAGCTCACATAGGGCCTCCTGTATGGTGTCAGCATCGGGGCTCCGTATGAAACCTGTTTTGGCCGAGGTAATAACCGCCAAGTTCGGGGTTAGTTGCCTCGGCGTATGATTTATTCTGGGCGGGCCTCTCAAATTTCTGCCGCTTGTGCTCGCCTCTTGGAGAGATCGTCTCATCGAGGCGTGCCCGTTTGGCATTGGCCGAGGACCTCTGCGCCTTGTCCGCCGGTTTGCTCTTAGAAGGGAGGGGGGCCCTTCCAGGGGGTTGGGAGTCCGGTCTAGGGAGCCGCTTTGGTGCGATCCCAGAACCATCTCCGCCAGCCACTAGGGGCCTCGCCTCTCCCCCCTTCTGCTGGGTGTTGCTCGCGTTTTGAAGTCGCTCGCGCTCTCGGAGCCAACCCCGTTTGTTCTTTCGGGCAGGGCGTCCCCTGCTCCCACTGGGAGCTGGAGGTGGTCGCTTGCCCTGGCCACTTTCCCCTTCCTTGCGGATGGGTGCCGTGGTTTTGGGCTTGCGACTCACCAGACTCCACCCTGCCTCAAGGGCTGTGTGCGTTGGGTTCTGCGATGCAGAGCCAGGTGTCTGAGCGGGGACCACAAAGCACGAGGCTCGGGCCACTACCGCTGGTGTTGGAACAGCACCGGCATCGGTACGCGGTTGGCCTTGGGGTTTCCCCTTTGGCCTACCACTCACCGTAGGGCACTGTTCTGTGTATGATTTTGTGCTTGCTGGGGCACTTTTGGGTTTCCCTTCCAGTACCACCGGTTTTGAGTAATTGATTAGATTTGATTGATCGGTAGAATCCATAATTCATTGTTCTTGAGTTCATTCTCCTGATTTCCCACCCACCACGGAGCCCGCACCTTTGGGGATGTCCCATTCGGGACACCAGGATTATCAGGAGAGTATAGGTGCAGAGGTTGGGAGCTCACTGCGTGACATCGGGGGCTCGAAATGTGCGGCTGGCTGACCCGATCAAAGTCAGCCAGGTGTTCCGCACATACTCACCCCGTCAGCATGGCCGAGTCCGTCCCCCCAACACCTCGCCTGTGGCCCTCTGACGGGACACATTGCCGTTTCCCTGTGTTGGCTAGTCACAGGGCTACCGTTTAGCAGGAAATCAGGGCTAAAGAGGGCGTATTGCTTGCCGGGGTCTCCACCCCGCTCGGGCTCAACCCTCCAGGATTCCTTCATCCCTGCGTACGGCGCTCAACTGCGTAGGCATGAACGCAGGAGGGTGTAGGTTAAGACCGCCCACCACTTGCCATGATCCACCCTCATAAATGCATGGCCGGGCCGTGTTGATCGCTTCGCGCCCTCACTGATAAGACTCAGACTGAAGCCGAGAGTTGTCAATGTTGGCCCCAGTGTGTACCGGCTACATCCTTGGGCATTCTGTGACAACATGTCATCACAGACTGCTCAAGAACTTCGCACGCGTGGAGGTAGAACAACTAACACACCCCAATCACATCTGAGAACATAGTAAACTATGTTCTCAGATGAACCAATAATTGATTTAATGAATAGTGAAACCAGGTACTGATTTTAGCAATAACATATTCGTTGGAATGCAAATTCTCGTCAAGCTATAAGCTGAAATCACACTTAACTAATACAGCTTAGAACATAATTAAGATGTTGCTTATCTTTATTGTGAGATTAATAGATAATATGATATTGACATGATGCCTAGTATCACCCTTATTTGGGTTCATGATATGTTAGTAACACCCTTATTTTGGTTTATGGCCAGTATGGACTGGGTTTTGTCGACAATTTCGCTTTAGAGTTCTGGTCGTTAGTCAGCATATTATACGGCTGCAGTAAGTGATGCATATATAGTTGCGTAACCTCGGCGTATAAATTGTAATTACAACTGGATACAGCAGAAGTAATATCTCTTTTGGCCGTATATCTTTTTTGGCCGTATATCTTTTTTGATGGAATTAACTTCAATGTGTAGTAGCTCATCAATGTTCACTCTCTATTTACGACCTACATGGTGACTTATTTATCCTTCCTGCTTTGGCAACAATGCCAGTTGCCATGAGGCTTGCTGTGGAACCCATGTACGGACAGAATAGGTCGCCGTTACTGCACTTTACCGTAGTGCTTAAATTCGTACCGTGTACAGTAACACTTATTCCATTTAAACACTCCACACATAATGCCATTGTTACAAAAATTAAATTATTTTCAAAAACGAAGTGAAATAATATTCGATTTACACATTAAAAATTATAAAAGTCGATGCACAATGTAAGTTGAGTGAATCACAAAAAGTTATTTACTTTTTTGTTTGGTTGCTTTTGTTAATTAGGAAATTTTAATTTTCTGTATTTTACATTCATTTTCACAGAAATAAGTTTTCCTTGAATGTAACATTCTTAACTTATATTTTAATCACTTTTAGCGCAGTTTACTTATTACTTTTTACTTATGTCTGTATAAGGGCGTAATGAGTTCTCAACAAGGGAAAACTCAACAAACACTTCATTCTTATCAAACCCTACCTTATCGTTGTGACCTAATTTAATACAGTTGATCCAAGTGGGTTTAGTATGCATTGATAACATTGCGTGCACCAATCTTGCCTTATTCAACAGATTTCATAATAAGATGGAATTTTAAACAGTTGTATGGCAATTTTAAAGCCAAGAAATGTTTGTTAATTGTTACATGTATTTAAAATTTTCTTTATACATATTTATTTTAAGAAATACAAAATTCTTATTGCTTAGAATACTAAACAGCCAAATTTTTGACTCTTAGGGCCACACTTCTCATGTGACTCATCTTTACTATTATATCCTCTACCTAAATATTTCGACTTGCAAATGTCCTTGAGCAAAATAGCTGAAGATGTCGCTAGTTTAGAACCAGCTGTGATGCTAGCCAGGCATGTGGCATTTACAACTTGTTTTTTGTACAATAATTTTTTGTTCCCCTTTTTTGGCGAATATATCTACATAATGGATTTCGAATTGTAACGTTTCTTACCATGTAAAAAGTTCGGTACTCGCATGGCAGGTATAGATATTTCCTTTTTTATAATGACGAGAACTTATTAATAGTGGTGCAATAATTTGTCATTCTCGAAACTTTTTTCAACAACATTATCATTTTTGTGTTTAGGTACTACTTTCAACGTCTTGTTTTGAGCGATAAAATATATCGATACTATTTCAGATTATAGCAGAAAGCGCTGTAAGGCAAGTTAAGGACGAAGCACGCATTCAATCTGCTTGTGGTCATCATTCCTTTATAGCTGGCGCCATAGCACGTTGGCAGACTAAAAAACGACTTTACATTGGTAAGATTTAGATTAATTTTTTCTTACACTTGCTGAAAGAAAGAGAAGATCTTTCCCATACTATGGAAGAATTTTTTTGTGTTCAAATTATAGTATATTTAACCGGCAACCATTCAGATGGTCCACCTGATGTAAGGTGTCACCTATACTGCCATCCTTATCATAAACAACGCAATCGCCATTTTAACCGAAATTGAGTTACTAACATTATCTGTAATCAGCAAAACGAGATCTAGAACCCCCTATAAGTGTTTTCTTATATCTTATTTAGTTTCAGTTCTATTGTTTAGTAAAATCAGCGTATTTGAGTCAATATCTCGAAAGTTACCAAATTGCAAATGCGTTATTTATGACAAGTGACTAACTAAGGTTTTGCCTGTTTCTAGGACATAAATTAGTCTGATGTGCATAGGATTACGCTGACTTTCCCTTCCTATTAATCTGAAATACAGTAGTGCTGCTTTGCGTTAGAAATGGGTGGATACCATCTACCCGGGTTCTACACGGATGAAGTATCATACCACCACTCAAAAAAAGTATATTTATCAACTACATAGTACACATTTGTATTAATATTGATTGTATTATTAAATCTATAGAAAACGAGAGATAAGTCACTTAATTTATTAGACAAGTTGCTGGGGGCAACCTCTAATAGAGTTTCTTGATTACGTTTATTACGTTATATTATCTACAAGAAGTAGGTTAAACGGCAGGTCGGTAGAGATTTCCCAAGGAGTGTTAAGAATGAAATATTGTTTTTTTGAATACGTTAGTGTTGCTGAAATCAATGACATTTAATTAATTTACACAGATGTGGATTTTTTCTAAATTGTTTGGCACATTATTATTAAGCACTTAGCATAACTTCTGTTATGTCTGATGTTGGTATGCAGCTCTATTTTAATTTTGTATATTGTAAACCAACATTGGATATGTATAAAGGTACATAAACCACAAACTTCGTTTGTTTAAACGTAACTTCAATCAACAGAATCTTCCGCTGTAGATTAATTTCGTACAATATTACGTGTGAACAATTTCGCGATTCGCTTGCCTACTACACTTTGGAGCCAAAGCATGACCGGGCACTCGGTAACTCTGTGATAGCCACATGAATGGAGCCTGACTGATACGACGTTCTAAATATAGGTAGATGGAGTCAGGGTCGGTCTCCAGTCCTTCGCACACTTTGGTACTTTGTTTATTTACAATCAAGATAAAATTTTCACGCGCGCGTTTAAACCAGACTGTATTAAAATTATGTTATACTTTTATTGTTTACATTTGTCGCAATTATTATATTACCAACTGTCGGACACTTGTTGTCGTAAATGTTTCCATTAACCAACGTAATAATGACAGTGACACATCTTTGTTTATTATTGTGGTACATGCGAGCTTTGCGCCATAGCTAAAGTTTCCAACCGCTTGCCTGTTTGTAACTTCTTTGTTAAGAAATAATACGATTGGCAAAAAAGTTATTATAATGTTTGTTTTACCGTGGAAAGTCCAATGCTTTGGCAAGCTATACCGTGATATACGCATGCAAAGTTGTTCAAACTCGAATGGCATGAAAAAAGGTTTTCATAACCATAGGAAAGTATTCAATACAGAATAATATGTAGTTTTTTTAATGCGGTGTGGTTTACTTTGTGTTTTTCTTGTTGGAAGTCGCAAAGACCTTGACTTTGGAATTGATCAGTACTTCCAATTAGCATTAGCATTAAAATTTACATAAATAGATGATTGCGACGTTAGTACCGGAAGTGATAATTAGTTAGCGTTCAGTTTTCAGTTTTTTTTGTACATGGCCTATATTTATATAGACAGGTTATCATTATCAGCATGAATTAATAATTCATTATCTCAATTTTGATTACACGTGTGACACATAAAGACAATTGACTGAGTTTCGGGTCAATATGACGTCTAACCGTGATTATTCAAATATCATGTCTAACTAGAAATGCGTGATCGTTTTGCGAGCTATAAGAAACGTTTTTAATAGCGTTTACATCTATTTATCTTATAGTGTATTTCTTTTCGAAGTATTCTATCGTTCATTTCATAAACACACAGGGGTTTGGTAAATGGCTGATATGAATGTAATTTATCTGCCTAGGAAAGTCACCACTAGAATTTTCACTGCCTCTGTGGCCAACCGGTTACCATGCTGGTCTGCCACGAAGAGGTCCCGGGTTCGATTCCCGAGCCGGGAGAATTATTTGTATGACCTATATTTATTTCTCTCGTGTGTTTGAGTGTAATTTGTGGTTGTCTATGTTTGTCCCATGACACCCGCGATACAGAGTTTCCCTAGTGCGGAGCTATGAGTGTGAATGTTAAAAAAAAAGGAATCGGCTTGATGCGATCGTTTTTAACCGCACTTGTCACAAGAGGCCGATTCACTGTTGATACGGCCGTTCGCGCGCCGACGTCGCGACCGTTCGCGCGCCGCCGACGAGGCCGTTCGCGGGCCAACGACGCGACCGTTCGGGCGCCGCCGCCAAAGGTTTTTGAGAATAATATATTTTTAAATTGTACAATTCTAAAGGAATGGAACATTACATAGCTAAAAATTGTCAAAACAAGACAAAAATTGTCCCATAAAATCACACGGGCGTACGGACGTGACAGGAAATTTGCACGAAGCAGATTGCCTACTCCCATTCTTCGTCCGACATCCGTCTGAAACAATTACTGTCAAACAAGTAATACTCGACCAAATTAAAAGACGAATGTTGCGAATGAAGCTTTTGGTCGAGTATTACTTATTTCACAGTAATTGTTTCGGATGGAGGACGGGAGTAGACCGCCAGATTCATTGCCGACCTTTTATCAAGTCGCGTCGTACAAACCGATGCGAAATGCACAACGTCTTTCGCTCTTACTTTCATGGATTCCGCGTTGATAAGTGTGGCCACTCCATTAAAGACGACAAGCCTGTATTCACCGTGTCAAGACCAAAGTAACGTGCGAAGACTTGGATTACAATTCAGCTCGGAAACTACAAAATTACTTCCGAGTAATAATTGCTGCCATTTTAAATGGGTACAAACTCGAAGTCTATAGAATATATAATTTTGTTACCATGGAACTAGTTGTTAACTATAAAGATATCCAAGATCTAACTATCCACACCAAATGTCTAAAACTAGTCAATTTCCAGAAAAATACATTTTCCAAATTGTGGGGAATCGTAATATATAATTGGCTTGATGTACTAAACACATTGAAAATTGATATTCCTAAATTTGAAATTTCAAGTCAAGAGATGACGCAGTTCTCGTCATAACTACTACAGTAGTAGCAGCAGAGCTCCTTGCGAAAGAGTTAGTCCAGGGATGTATTGTTTACTGTGTTTTTATTATTTACTGCGTCCGTTTTTGAAGAGTAAGGGTGCTGCTGGTGAAATGATAATAATAATATAATAAGTTCCTTTATTTTCTCACCACAATATCGGTACATTGAGCATAATAATAAGCACTATACATAAAAAAATAGAATTATAGTGTGGGAGACTGGTACCTAAACTAGACGTATTTCAGGTCACCAGGACTCGACCCCTTGGAAAATACTTGCAAATTATAGGCACATGGGACTTGTCAATTTAGGTATGACTCTGGGTGACGGGTGCAGTGGCCCATCATATGTTTGCGATTTAAAGTTCTGATTGGCACTGCAACTACTATGGACAGACGTATCGCTTACCACCAGGCACACGACTTGTTTGTCCCGTCACTTTGAATCGTAATAAAGAAAAAGTACTTTATTATATGAATAAACTTCATAAAGGCTTACAGGGAAACAAAAGACCTATTTGTCGTATGATATAGTATTTTCACTTTTTACTGGTTTCTAGTTTACTGATTAATCAGATAGATAACATTTGTTATTATTTAATTAACGTAAACGTTTCGAGTTCCTAAGTATTCGTGATAGTTACTCATAGGAAATGAAAGTATTTTTCCGGATTTAAATCGCGTGTATTTGTTTTTTCAAACAGCCCAACGTTTCGGGGCCCTTTACAGGTCCCATGGTCACGGTTGACTGAGGTGGTAAAGTGATCAAGTTTATATTAGACCTAACTAGTTGATGACTTTACCACCTCAGTCAACGGTGACTATGGAACCTGTAAAGGGCCCGAAACGTTGGTTTGTTTCAAAAAACAAATATACTCAGTATAAGTCCGGCAAATAGTTTCACTTTCTATAACGTAAATGATAAGTAAATATTGTGCATTTAAATCAGCGTTTCTTAACCTGTGGTCCATAGACCCCTGAGGGCGGACCTCTATGTAATGGTCGTAGAGGGTCCATGGCGAGCCCTCCTACATAAAAATTGGTATACACTGCTGGCGTGACCTTTTTGAATTTACGCGCACTTTGACCACTTGAAGTGAACGAGACGCGCGTCAACGCACCTTGCGAACCTTTCTTCTTCTTCATCCTTCAACAAAGGGCCCGTGGGATCTTTGGAATTTTGAATGGGGTCCATGACTAGAAAAATCCTGATTTAAACTGTAAAATTTCACAAACGTCTAACATCCATAGTTGACGCATGCATGTAACTACACGATGACCAAAGGAACCACTTTAGTAATAATAGCCACAATTTGCCATCTAATCTTAAATAAGACGACGACGGTCAGTTGATAGGTCATTGTCATTCTCATCACTGCTAATGATCTATTTGCCTAATTGTTAAATTTAAACACATTATTTTAAAATCATTGTCTTTATCTGCCATTGTTATGAGTGTATTTTATTCAGAAATCATAATAGGTTCACAATTGTGTTATTTACTTTAAGCCTACGTTAGTATTTAATAATTAGTTTTGAGTGAGTTTCCACTTTAGAGGACAGCCAAACTTAATCTTTAAGATTTTGTTATTTTAATAAGTCTAGTATTGTATGTACGTACTAGAACGACAATATTGAATATCTTTGTACGAACATTAAACATAGTTAAGCTCTTACGACTAAGGTCAGCTTTTTCTTCTAAATAAGAATGTATTACAAACATCGTTTTGTTTTTGACGTCTAATAAGGAGTATTTGTACTTTATTGTTAATTCCACGTATTATGATTTTTTTCTTTTTTTAGTTTCAGAATACATTCCCGGTGGAGAACTTTTGGCTCTCCTCGAAAAATACGAAAAGTTACCAGAAGAGCTTGTGAAGATTTTTATTGCTGAAATTGCTGTTGCTATAGGTAAGCTGTAGTTGTGTATTCATTTTACATTGTATTAACCTAAGAAATAGCTGACTAGAAATATACGAAATGAAAATAGTGGAACTTCAGATATCTCTCCATAATAGTACCTTATGTATCTGCGCATCATGTTATATTTGCTGTCTTTGGTTGGTGTCGTTTCTTTATCTACGACTATCACCTCATTTGACAAAAATGAGTACATGTGGCGAAACTCCCTGAAATCTTAAAATGTAGAATAAATAAAAGGAATTGTCGACGGTACGGTCTCAAACTAAGGAATTCCCTGTACTATAAGTGTCAGAGCAACGGAATTCACTCTGGGGCACTATCCGAAACACCTAGACCAGAACCAATTTAGAAAAGTTCCTTTCCCAAATTGGTCCTACCGGGAATAGAACCCGGGACCTCCGCATCCGGCGCCCACAGTGCAAACTGGACCACAGAGATTGTCAAATATATTTCACGTAATAGTCTTGATTGTAGTAAAAACTGAGCTAGATTTTCATATTCTATGCATTGTCTTAGAACCATCACATAAGCTAGAACCAATATAAGGCACTTATACCGTTTATTTAACAGTACAAGTATCAGTGACGGAGGGTCAACATAACACGATTCCTAGCGGCTATGATACTGTCAATGCCTTGCATTACAACATTTTCTATGTATGTTCTACATTGCTTACCTTCTTGAAACATCCACTGATAAATTTACACAAAACTTTGTTAGATCCGAGACATTATTCAACATTTCGTAAATCTATTTGTAGCTCGTTTTAAAGCGATAAAACAAACACGCTTAAATTTGTTACTAGGCCAAGGCCTCCTAATAACCACACAATGCTTCTATTATACCATTGTGATAATTCCAGATTTTCTACACAACGCCGGCGTGATCTACCGTGACCTCAAACCAGAGAATATATTGCTGGACGAAGATTATCACGTGAAGCTGGTGGACTTCGGACTCTCCAAGTGGCTGTCCATTGGGTCGCGGACCACTACTCTTTGCGGCACTCTTAAGTACATGGGTAAGTGTTCACGTATTTAAGCGTGGAACTCACAGAGAGAAGGTGCGGGTCGGTCGCGAGTTGGGTCGGGACCGCCGCGGGTCTAATTCCATTTATTTACATGGATCAAATGCGGGCCCGTGCGCCCATCTAGCGCCTGCACTTGTCCCGCGCCTGCACTCGCCTCGCGCCCGCGCTCGGTGATTTGTCGTCCAATAAAATACACGGAATTAGACCCGCCGCGGTCTCCACCCGTCTCGCATCCAAGCCTCACCCGCTCTCAAATGTGTTTCACGCTTTACGAAGTCAACGGGTTCATAAAACAATCTTAAATAATATACTTTCCTAAAGTAAATCTTTCTTGAATGTATGTATAATTTTCCTGTATATGTATTTATAGTAACGTTACCGTGTATGTATACTTGACATTTTTTTCAAAGTAATAAGAATAATAAGAAATTTAAAAGAAACAACCTCATACTAATATTCATGAATCATAAGCTAAGTAGACATTATTAAAGTAATGAATTTTTATTGCTTGATCGCTATTGTGTAGCTACGAAGCTCTAACTGCGCCATCATTTTTGTTGACTAGAGGATATGTTTTGTGGACCATACTTACATACACATACTGGCACTTTTAGCGGAATAAAAACAAAGTGAGATTATAAAATTGTAAAATAAATTAAGAATTAAGAATTAGACTAAACTAGCAATTAAATCAAAAGATCGACTTAGTACAGGCTTACTCGTTACTTTATTAAAAAAATATATCGAAATTAAATAAAATGCATTTTTTACATTTTGTGTTAAACCAACAAAACAGCTGAAAATTTAAAAATTGCAACTGTTTCACCTTGATAAACCAATTTGAATAAATATAAAAGTTGTTGAAGTAATGTTTATGAAATTTACAAGAAACAGTGTCGAGCCAGCGAGAAATCAGCCTCGAATCACTCGACGAACCTGTAATACTAGGAAATTAAATCAAATTAATGAAAAAAAAACTACAGTCGACTATTTTTTTATTTTCAAATTGGACCTAAAGTAAGATAAATTACTGCTCCATTTTGGGATTTACTAGTGATCTGCTAAATGTGCTGGTGTGTAGTTTTTTTATAGGTGACAAAGAGGCTATGTGATGTACAATTGGCGGCACGTAAATAGTAAGCGCGTTACGATAAAGCGTACGTTGTTCCAAAATAAAATTTATATAACTCGGATACATTTTTAAAGTAAATTTTATTTTCCTCACGAACTGCTATCTATCGATTGGTTTGAGTAGATGATTAGTTAATCATTATTGCCGGTTACTAGCTTGCTCTAATTAAAGCGGATATTTTTTATTTCAGTACGGAACTTGACCCGCTACGTATTTTAGTGCAATGGCTCAGTTCAAAACCGTCGTCGCCCGCGATTCTCCTCTGAAAACCGGCGTCAGTGTATAAGCAAACTCTGTGTGTTCGATTATGTCAGTGGCGGCGGACGGTCTCGCGTCGGGCCACTGACGGCGCCGCGCCGGCACCATGAACGCGCGCAGCATCACCTTTCAGCTGTCCATGGAAGGACGACAAGTGGACGAGGTGGTGGCATGCATATTCCACACGGTCCTTTTCCATCGGTCCAGCGGTAAATTCACATACAACAGCGAAGAGAGCTACTCGATCCGTACCGTGAGCTATGTAGATGTCGACTGCGATTTCATCGATTTCACATACGTTTGCTGCGAGTCCGAAGCGCTCGGGCGAAATATTAAACGGGAAATATCGTACTTCTCCGAGCTGCTTCGCGGTGCCGAGTCCACTTCCTCACCGCCCAAAGGCTCGATAAGCCTGGAATTCTTCCAGAAGCGCCGTGCGCGTTGGCCCTTTCAACCCGAGTGCGTGCCCTGGGAAGTGTGGACGGTGTACTGTGAGGTCGCCGAGTCCAGAAACGAGCACGACATGCACAGCAAACATGAGAGTGTTGTCGAAATGCTGCAGGACAAAATAGTTTTCATCACGGAGATTATAAATCGCCACGAATACGTTCCTAAAATGCCGAGTCGCTCCGACGCGGACCTGATATTCGATACTTCGTACTCGGACATACAGCCGTACCTATTTAAGGTGCACTACAACCTGTCCGGCGCGCCGCCTACTTCAGTCGGGAACACTGTCCGGAAACTGATTCGCGACACACTGTCATTGTGATCCATGTAACTTACGTCGCGAGTATTCAATCTCTTTAACGTATAAGATCGTCATAAATTATTGAGCTGACTATTATACAATGGCATCGTTCGACCCGACAATACGTCTACTAAATACCTAATTAAGAAGCTATTCGGGGCGTGTATTTTGGAGAATTGTTGATATTGTTTTTATATTATTATGACATGTAAATATTTCGACTTGTATATTTTCAATTTCATTATAATTAAATAATAATTATCAAAGGATTTCACAGTTTCGTCTAATTTCTCTATAAAGCAGTCACTTAATTGTACTTATATTGCTTTGTACATTGCACAAAGAACATTTTCTAGTTAAATTTTTCAGTAATATTATTATGGATGCGTTAGGGTTTTAACCAGCCGTTAATTGGTTAGGTTCATTTTCGTTTTACGCGTCACAGTGCTTACTTTGCAAATGCCTCGTGTTGGTGGCCCGTTGTCTACTTATCGATTTATTGCATTGTGTACTATTACTAGTTCCGACATTATCTTTTAGTACTTTGTTATTATGACTACAGAAATAATTTTTCAAAACTTTGGTAGATAATGGAATTTAGGCTGGTTTTAGGTTTATTATGTTAGCTAATCAAACTAATTATTTAATGTTTTCGTCTGTTGTAAAATTAGGTGTAAACGTAAATTTAGTTGTAATAATAATTTCAGAGCTATGACTCAGAAGGCTGGTTGATGTGTCCACTCATTTATATGATTTAAGATTTGACCTTGTCTGTCGTTACAATTAAGTTTTCTTATTTACTTGGAGGCTTAGAAATAGATACTTTAACTAAGCACAGTGCTTGATACGATTATAGATGTATAGTTACCTAGTAATTTTATAATTTCGTTATAAAAACCCGTGTTTAACTTTGTATGTCACCAGTGTCATTTCTATGATATCCAAGGGCTTGTCTGTAGCGCAATTGGTGGCACAAATAATTTAAAATAAGATTAATTAAAACAACATCGGGTTATAAAACAATTGGGTGAGAAGCACTCAGTATAACATTGTACAGTCTTTTTGACTATTGTGTGTTTTTTATATTAAAATAGCTTTGTTACATTACTGAGGAGAAATTGCAAAAAAATATGTAAAAAAAAATTGTTATCGATTTTATGTGTGACAATGTTGTAGACTAGTTTGATGGAGCCATTAACATAAATGGATGTTTACGATTTAGATGTATCTCAGAATAATTTTAAAAACATAATATTAAACGACTTGTATATAAAAAGGATGTACAGAGAAACGACAGATTTTTCTCATTTTAAATTGTCCGAATGTTGCATGGTCGGGTTATGAAGAGCTTTATGAAACTTAATACTTTTGGAAATGATTCGAACAGTGATTGTTTATCAGATTTAATGTTAGCGTAGAAATGGTGCATGGAAAGTCTCATAGTCGTAAGAGATGTTATTATAAGTGATATGTTTAAATTAGTACCTTGTGATTGACGCTTTTGATTTAACGCTTACTTTGTAACCGCGTCTGTACATGACCTTCCTCTGAAACGAAGGGTTTCGCTATCCATGACCCTCACGAGTAGATTTGTTTTGCCCGGTCCATTGTTTGATATTTAAAAAAAAAATCTAAGTAGATCATTGGTAAAACAGCTGGGGTTCGACGTGCGGATTGCGTGAATTACATAATAATTAAGCAGAGCAACATCCATAAAGTTTAATCTTTTTTTTTAACTTCCTACCTCATTTTGTGACTATAGCTTTAGTGTTTGTTCATCTCTATTGGAATATTATTTACTATCTGTTTGCCTTTATAAACAATTAGTTATTCACCAAAGAAGCGGCTGTACATTTTATTATCTTATTAGAAAAATCGCCGTTGTAATTGTACAATTTCAAGGAAGTGTGTATGTCGGTAAAGGAATTCGCCTAGAAAAAACAATTTTTTCCTTGTGATATACTATCTCGTCTTCTTTGATTTTTTGTATGCCGTTCATAATAAATCGATATAAATAAATATAATGATCTATTTAAGGTGTCTCACAGACGAACATATAAACAAATTGACTCGGTAGGAGTTTGTGAAACGAGGACTCAAGTACGTATTTTGTAAGGCATTATCACACTTTCATTTAACTCGTCAACTATACTCATCAATCAATGTCTGTCAGTGAAACACCTGTACAATTTATTTGCAATGTGTCCCAAAGGAAAGCCATTATAGTTGCGAAACTAGAGATGAGATTTAGGGACATATCGCAAACTATGTAATTTCTATATCATCAGTACCTTGACAATTTATTTCAATTACTTCTCGTAGACATCATCTGGTGATAAAACTATTTCGTCTTACTTTAAGTCAGACTTTGTTGTGTGGCTCGATCCCTCTGGAGTATTGAACGAGTAAATTGTGATTTTATGGCTCTACAAAAAAATAAGAATGTTGTAACCTTGTCTTATGTGTCGTGTGTTGTAAATTGATATCTTGAAATTTTTATACGGTTAGAACTTGGAAAGGTTTATGAATTCATCAGCACGGAAGAGTTCCGAATGTGAATTAAATTTCATATATTTCTGTAAAATGTATAATTGCACTTTTATGGCCTTATTTAAAAATGATTTAGATGTAAAGTGTGTATAATAACGGCTGTTACATGTAAAGTATAAACGAGACAAAAGGTATATGTTGTGATGTACAAGTTCAAAAAAGAGCGGAAAAATCTTAGTCTTGTGATAATTTATATAAATATGTGAATAAATAAATAAGTATTAACGCGGTTGTTTTATTGTTTTGTTCGAGTTACTTTACAATCTTTCTTCAAACAGTACGCGAACAATAAGGATTTATATAGGTAGTAAGTAGAACGTTTTCCAGTGTTCTATATACAAAAGTTATTGTGGTTTACCGTTTTTGACACCAGGGCTTTTGTTAATTTCATTGTTCTTGTATGTATATGCTAAGAAACGTACATTAAATAAACTTTTACTATAGAGCTCGTGTCCTTCGTATCGTATTTACGAAAGTGTAGATTGTTAACTCACTGTGTTTAGATATACTGGCGCGACGCTTTGACTCTGCGCCAGTGTGAGTTGAGCCTTAGGCTCAATTTACTTTACGACGAAACGGAATGGAATGGAAGCGTCAATTTCGCCTCGTTGCGCGAGAAGGCGCGCGCAGTCGCTAGAATGCTCGAGCATTCCAGCGTCCGCGCCTTGAGGCTGTAGTATTTCGTTGACGTTTGCCGTCACTTTGCGCCAGCCTTCGCGCCACTTCTCGCGGATTCGCCAGGCGTCGGCAGCTGCGGAATCCTCGTGAATGCGCGAGCATTCTTAAGCATGCGCGAGAATTTCGCGGAAGACACGTACCGTGATTTTTGGCTCGTATCTAGTGTGTACGTTGCACAATTGACCATAAAGTTCATTATGCTATGTACAATATCGTTACAAAAATTCGCTTCAGTTCCGCTTCACCGCAATATAAATAGAGCTTTAAGGACTGATAAGTTACAATTTGATGGTCGCCATGTTGGCAAATTTAAAAGAAGTAATTCCTTGTACTGACGAACGTTGATGGTTCCAAAGCAACTTATCAACCTGTACATTTACGTCCTTATTAATGTCTGTGCAAGTGCAGTTTCGGGTCGTATTTTCCTGAAGGAGACTTCGTGTGCTACACGGCATCGAGTTTTATCCATCAAAAACATAAGTACAGTTTACTTTACTTAATTAATTTTTAAGTACATATGTATGGAGGAATGCTAGTGGCGTGGAGCACAAGAAGTATGAATGATTTTTTATTTTTGCTTTGAAGGAAATATTGGTAGCAACAAGCACTAAATTATATAATAAGTTAAATAATAATAAATACGTATAGCGATCTCGCGTTTTACGTTGCTCTGGCACAAGTCGCGCCCTGTCTTGTTAGCCCTACAGGCGATTGTTTATTTTTAACCGACTTCAAAAAACAGGACGAGGTTCTCAATTCGACTAAGTTTTTTTAGGTATGTATGTTACGCGAGTGGCAGGAGTGGTCCCATTTAAATTTGAAGAAAATTCCTCCTCTAAGGGTGGCAAACTAGGGGTTGAATGACTTGAGGTCGGTTTTTTAATACTCTGTACTGAGATTATTTCAAACACAATACTAATACATATATTAGTATGTAATTGATCCATTAAATGTACGGAAACCGATATTACTATTTTATTGTATTGATGTAATATGTGTAGTTGAGAGATAAAGAACCTTAAGTGTCAAATAGTAATTGTTACTACATAGCGTGAGGTTGGGGGTCGCCACTCGCATCCGCAAATAAAAAAAATAAATTCTTGAACAGGCCGACAAAATTTGACATATATCCGACGTTGACAAGCGCCTGATAGCGACATATAATAAAGTATACTCTGTGATGGCGACTGACGGGGCAGCGGGCGGCGCGGCGTATCGTTAAAAATTATGTGAATTTAATAACTAGGGCATCAGTTGAAAACAAAAATTTAGTAGGTATCTAGTACTTAAAGAGAAGTATCTCCATATAAAAATTATATGCAAAGTTACATACATATTTTGAACCGATTTAAAAAAAACAGGATTAGGTTCTCAATTTGATTTTTTTTGCATGTATTACGCGATAACTCCCGACCCGATTTTGACGATTCTTTTTTTGTTGGAAATGGGGTGCCTCAGTATTGGTTCCATTTAAATTTGAATAAAATATTCCACCTCTAAGGGTGGCAAACTAGGGGACGAGTTCGGTTTCGCGCACTTTTCGGTAACCGATTTCAATGAAACTTGGCAAATAGATTTTTTCTTTTACTTAATTTCACACAATTCGTGAGGTCTGCTGGTGCGTTCCGTGGCTTAGTTGGTATAGCGTCTGGCACGGTATGCTAGAAGACATCGGTTCAAATCTGGCCGGATCGAAGGATTTTTTTCTGAGTGTTCGATCTTTGTATTAATAATTATAACAAACTAGTGGAGTAATTTCACATAAAAATAATTGAATATCAATGAAAATTGAATTTCACAAACTTTTGAGGTATATTTTTTTAGTACTCTGTACAGAGATTATATTCTTTATACGATCGGGTAAAGTACATCCTATCGTGTAACGAATTAGCACATTCTGTACACAATATCCTTGTGTATCGTATATGTTTTATAAGACCGTTTTTGAATAGTAAATACTTAAACCACTTGATCTAGCCAAACAGTTTATCCTGCTTCTCCTCTGGTGGAACGCCTAAAATAAACGCCAAATAAAAAATGCTAAATAAATAACAAACGACATTTGGACTTAATATCTTTTACCATTGCGTGACTTTTACCATTCTAAAATGATTCTAAAGCAATGTTTGTAAAAACATCTAAATTCCAAAATATGAACTTAAGGTCTTTTACCTTTCACCTACAGACACATTACAGCAACTTCGACTCTGTAACGGGCTTTATCTCTGTCGCCGAATTATCACAATTTTTATAAAAAAAATGTTCCATGCTATCTTTATTCTTTTCAAAACTTTTTTCTTTAAACTTAACTTATGTCACTTATGCTAGTACTAAGAATATAACTTGGGACATTGTTACAGCTCCGGAGATCCTGAGCAGAGAGCCTTATGGTCACGCAGTAGACTGGTGGTCTCTGGGGGTCCTTGCCTGCCGTATGCTTACAGGAGAAGTAAGTTTTATTTAAAATATAAATAACACTGCGCGTAAGTTTGTGGTTTTCGTAGACGGCGATGGGTAGTGTTCAGCCTTACTGTTCATTATGACTATTAGCAAATTCTTAAGTTAAATATGCCATGTTATATTAGGCTGGTCGTATAGCCTTTGGTATTTTTGTGTGTATTAAAACTGTTCGTAAAACTTCGATAATATGCATAATTAGGTTCTTATAAATCTAAGTCTAATTTAAAGTGAAACTTAAATCTTTACTCCATCGGGACTTAAATTACACTTGAAACCGTCATATAAATTAAACTCTACTGCTCATTCATAAGGTAGATTCCCCCGAGAAGAGTGAGTAAGAAAGTCAAAAGTGAAAGTTAAAGTGAAACTCTAGTGGTTGCTCTTTGTAAATATACAATTGTACACATTTGTCATTTACAATAGTTATAAATATACGTAGTCCCGCACTAGGGAACCCTGTGTCGCGGGTGCCATGGACACACATATACACGAGATAAGTAAATGTAGGTCATACAAATATTTCTCCCGGCCCGGGAATCGAACCTGGGACCTCTGCGCGGCAGTCCGGCAATTAAGTCTTAAGTCCGGCAATTACCAGTCCCGATGGTAACCGTTCGGCTACTGAGGCTATTATTTCAAATATCATAACGAACGAGACTACCTGTAAGAGCTAAACGGGCCTCTACCGCGGGTTTTTGTCAACCAAGTACGCAGAATCTGTATAATAATAACGTTTAGTAAAAGTTTTTGTTTCGCTACAGTTTTAAACCTAATTTAACCTCATTTCATTAAAATAAATAACGTACTTACTATATGCACAATCCAGACGGTGCAATGCTGCTATTCCATAGCGTGGTTCCCTTCTCCAGCATAATAATTGGCGGGGTCATTAATTACTGCATAGCTGCCAGGCAGCATCCTATCCACACAACAACGACCATAATGGACCTCAGAGTACTCAAAAGGCTTAAGAATTTTATGACAACAGGATATCAGTTAAAGAAATCAATATATCGTGCTCTCGCGGCCGTTTATCCAATGATATATTTTTTACTCCTCGGCTATCATGTATCACTAGCTATTTCGTAGCTATGTTTTTTTAGGAAATACATAGTTTTCAATTCGACTGTATTTTTTTGTGTATATATTAGGGGTTAAAGTATGAAATTGCCGTTTTATTGCAATAGGTTCTTTGAATTTTCATAGAATCTTCATGGTTTGAGGTTTTGGAATGAAACTTTTTTCAAATGGTTTCTGTGATTTTTTTTTTAAATTTGAAACATTTGAATATCGACTTTCAATTGTTTTTGTTATTCAATTTAGACAAGAAAGATGGATACTGCGAAAATTCGAGTTATTTTGTGAATACGAGTTCCGACGCGGAACTAACGCGGCAGAAACAGCCCGCAATATCAATGCTGCGTTTGGAGAGGGGTCTACTAATGAACGCACCGTGCGATTTTGGTTTAAACGCTTTCATGATGGAAATTTCGACTTAAAGAACGAGACACGAGGAAGACCGCCCACACAGGTGAATAACGATGAATTAAGAGAGATAGTGGAAGCCGATCCTAGTAGAACTACCCAGGAATTAGCGGCATGGTTTAACGTTACCTTACCCACAATATTGACTCACTTGCGTCAAATCAATAAAATAAAAAAATACGAAAAATGGGTGCCTCATGATTTGACTGATCTGCAGAAAGAAACGCGTGTTGAAACTTGTGTTGCCTTGTTGAACCGGTACAGAAATGAAGGAATATTGGATCGAATTGTAACATGTGATGAAAAGTGGATTCTTTATGATAACCGGAAAAGAAAAATGCAATGGCTGACCCCAGGTCAAATGCCACAACAGTGTCCTAAAGCAAAACTTACCAATAAAAAGGTAATGGTAACTGTTTGGTGGTCACAGCATGGTGTTATTCACTATAGTTTTCTCCGATCTGGACAAGCAATAACGGCAGATGTCTATTGTGCCGAACTCCGAACCATGTTGACAAAACTAGCAGTAAAACAGCCCCGACTCATGAATCGATCTTCACCATTATTGCTCCACGACAACGCGAGACCTCACACAGCACGAGAAACCATTTTGACCCTTCAGGAACTGCAGTTAGAAACCATTCGTCATCCTCCGTATTCACCAGACCTTGCTCCAACGGACTACCATTTTTTTTTCGTGATTTGGACAATTATCTACGTGACAAGAAGTTTTCTTCCCAGGAGGCAGTACAAAATGCTTTCACACAGTTTGTGCAGTCTAGATCGTCGGAGTTCTATCGCAAAGGCATTAATAACCTTCCCATTAGATGGCAGCAATGTATAGATAATAAAAATAAATTTGTTAAAAATTTAAAAAATAAACAATTTAGATTTTCAGTACAAATCGGCAATTTCATACTTTAACCCCTATTATTATGCGATTACTCCGAAATTAGAGAAACGGTTTCGATGATTCTTTTTTTTTTGTTGGAAATGGGGTATCTCAGTGAATTATTTTCAAATTTAAATGAGACCGCATTTAAATTTGAAGAAAATAATTTACCTCTATGGCTGTCAAATTGGGGGATGAATCCAGTTTATTGGATTTCACCCACTTTTCTGTTAACCGATTTCAATAAAAATTGGCAAATAGATATAATTACATAAATATTTGAGGTCACTTTTTCTTTATACAGAAGTTATAATTATTTATCAGTACTGCTTATTCGCAGAAGGCAGTAAACAATTTAGTATAACTAGTCAAGTGGCTTTAATAGGTACTTTTAGGATTTCATAAAAAGCATTAGGAAATTTGACTGACTGACAGCTTCAATCAATATGACGCGAATGTGCCATAAAAATAATAATTGAAATGCCACTTTGCACTAAAGTTGTTGAATCGTTTCATAAAAGCCAGTTGTGCAGTTATAAATGTTAATCGCAGTAATTTAGTCTCCCTATGTGGAATAATCAAGCATGAAGCTGATAGCTGATCACGTTCCTCAGACATGAGGGAACGACAGAAAGATGTGGAATAAAATAGACTGAACATAAAGATCTTTGTAATACTTCGACGTAATAAATATTGCCACTTTGACATCATCATTCATCACTTTGCTTGCTTAGGGGGTTGAAAAGGATCAAGTTCTTGTGTCAGTAACTATTTGCCACTATGTAGAATTAAATCTAAAAGATGGAAATCAAAAATAAACACATTTATATTATAAAAAACATATTTATTTTTGTATTACTTAAGAATACCGGAAATTCGATAAATTATTTTGAAAAATAATTACAACGTAATTTTTCGTTTCGGCTATTTTAAATAGTCCCTAGTGTCTAGAGAATAGTCGGAAATATTCACACGGTTGTCACACTCTCAGTCAGGCAGGGCATACGCATCACATATACTAGTTCAGTCGCGCGGGCTGACGCGGGCCCGGCCGCGGGGCGGGGGGCGCGTGTCGAGAGTCTCGCCGTCGACACACGCCTGCCGCCGAGCGTGCTACAATCACTCACTTATTCCTTTTTCTCTGCACTCTCTTCGGACGAGTCTTTCTCGGAGCTGCTGTCCTCTTTCTTATCGGTGCTCTCATTGCTCTCCTCCGAGCTGTTGGCAGGCGCGTCATTCACAGGCTTTTCGGGTTTTCCTTCTGGCTTTGATTCGGGTTTCTTTTCTTTGTCTTCCTTGGGCTTTTCTGCAGCGGGTACTTCTGGTTTTTCCTCCTTTACTGGCTCAGCTGGCTTAGCTGGCTCGTCCTTAGACGCTACCTCCTTTGGGATTTCAACTACTTTTGCTTCTTGTGCTTTTTCTTTGGGTTTTTCCGCTTCTTTAGATTCGGGTACTTTGACATCTTTGGGTGGTTCAGGTTCCTTTACTTCCTTAGGAACTTCGATTTCTTTGACTTCCTTAGGAGCTGCAGCTGCATCTTTAAGGGTTTCTTTTATTTCTTTTGGAACCTCAGGCTCCTTAACTTCTTTGGGAGCTTCAGGCTGCTTTTGTTCTTTAGGAGCCTCAGATACCTTGAGAGATTCTTTAACCGGTTCAGGTGCAGCTTCCTTAGCAGCAGCTTTCTGATCTTCGACGGTATCGCGAACTACTCGGAGACTGTCTTCAACTGCAGCGGCTTCGACAGACTTCTTTTCTGCCGGTTTTTCTTCTGGTTTAGCTGGTTGGGCAATAGGAGCGTCCGGCTTTTTTTCTGCCTTGTTGTCATCCTGTTTTTCTTCTTTTTTTTCTTCCTCTTTTTTCGGTAGCTCCTTCTTTTCTTCAGAAGACGAATCGGCGCTCTTGCCTGCTATGACTGGCACATTTGTGTCTGGCACTATTCCAGCAGGGTCGACAGCTTCATCAGCTACAGCGGAAGTTGCCTTTACAGCACTGACGACATCGATGGCTTCTACGGGGGGAGCTACTTTCCCAGCTTCATCATTAGACTTAGACTCTGGTTTTCCTTCCTCTTTCTTTTCTTCCGGCTTTATTTCCTCTTTCTTTTCTTCTGGCTTAGTCTCTTCCTTCTTTCCTTCGGGCTGAGATTTAGGTTCATCTGGTTTTTCTACTGGCTTAGGTTCTTCAGGTTTGCTTGGTTCAGGTTGCTCTGGTTCAGGTTTTGCTGCTTTCCCTTCAGGGGCTTCTTCCTTTTTCGCATCTACCTTTTCTTCGGGTTTACTTTCTTCCTTCTTTTCATCAGGCTTTGCTGGCTTGACTTCTGGCTTAGGCTCGATTGGTGCGCTCTTAGCAATTTCTTCAGGTTTTTCTTCGGGTTTTTTTAATTCAGGTGCCGCAACTGCTTCTGGTTTAGGCTCTTCTGGCTTAGGAATTTCGGCTACAGCCGCAGGGGCAGCTGGAACTGACTCGTTAAGTTTTTTTTCGGCCACGGGCATGGCTAGACAAGCTGCCGCGAAGGCCAGACATAATAATAACCCCTTCATCCTGTAAAGATAGAAACGTGTAATTAGTGGTTTTGTAGAGATCACAGATTTAGAAATAGCAACGTGTATTTGAATGCACGTCTGCAAGTCGTGAGCACAGTAAGGCCAATGTTACGCGCCGGCCGGCGGTTGGCGTTTTGCAGCAATTTTCCTATTAGCCTGAATCATGTAAGGGCCGACGGACTGGGGAACAGTAACTATCTTCTAGTCGCTTCAAATTGACTTTGATATATTAAGGAGGATGTAAACTATTGTGAAAGTAGGCTATGGAATTATTTCGAAAGCATTGCCTGTGGTATACCTTCTGACATATTATAAGCATTATGCCGCGCGATAAAAAGAAATTTATAACTTAGGACTAAAAATGTATTTCTGCTTTTTTTGCCTTGGGCATCTGTTAATCTATTTGCCATTAGCTATTAAGGTCGTATACCTCGATCTCTGGCGACTGATATTTATAGATAGTCTTGCAAAGGTAGGACATTAAGACGGTATCCCAAGTCCTGCTGGAATGCAGTCCGGCGCCATTGAGAATAGATTACCTGCACCCGTCGCGGTAATCGGTTTAAAATAACCTGCTATTACCATCGGGGATATCATTGCTTCGATCTGTGATTCCTTAGGTTGAAAATAGCTTGGGTTTGTAGCTATTTCTTGCCTTAGGCATTTCAGTGCTCTTTAGTCGAGTTATTAATAGAAACGGCGGTACATGGACTAGTCTTAATTTAGTAGCAACCATATTGCCATAAAAAATAATCATTGGAGGCTGTATTGCAGTGCTTTTGTACACAACAGGTTCGTCGTTACGTGATTTACATTAATCATGGTATGTACTGCGAGCGTATAACACTATAAATTCGCGTAATGCTAGAACACTTCCTAGCCCACAGCAGACAGGATGCGTATGCGTTGCTAATATAATACGGAATATGCATGATTGTCTGTCCAGGCGCACTGTCATATGAATTTAAATCGGCTCATTGAATTCAATCGGCCATAGCTTACGATATTATGGCCCCGTATGATTCATTCGAATGCAGATTTACATGTATGCCGATCTTTTATTTTATACTTTCAATGGTAAAAATAATTACCGACTAGGTACTATATTTGAAAGCCTATACATTATCAAACCTTACATACATGAAAGTCTGGTAAAGTCGTAGGTAAATATTTTTTATAATTCGCTTCAATTTAACAAAAAAATTTACGCATAAAGATCAAATTGGCATTTAATAGGTATATAGTGTGTGTATAGTTACTGTTGTGAGTTGAATATTATTTTGAAACAAAATAAAGTCTTAACGATTGCATATTTTCTCTCGTATTGGTGTCCCGTGGATATTTTGCTCTTGACGCCAATGCATTCCGGCCAAGTACAAATGGGGGCCGGTTTCGTAACTCGTCCCCAGTTCTCGGATCCCTATTACCTGTTATTACGTCGCAATTCTTACTTCACATAATGAATGTAGGTACTCTTTTCGATCATTTTTTTGGTCTCGTTTAAGGTTGCAACAAAGGTTTTGGTTGACAAATTCTCATTTTTTGATTTTTTCATGCCATCATTTGTGCATACTTTATTGGACTAGATTGATTACTTAAACATAAAATTGTGTGAACAAGATGATAAGAAATTACGATAAAACGTTTTTTTCAATACTTCCATCGACTGATTAATCTGAACCAAAAACCAATTTTACTAAACCTTTCCGATGTTGGTGAGTGGATTACTCACACAACAATATTAAAACATTAAAATTTAGAAATACAACACGCTTTGTTAAATAAATCAACAAATAAGCTGCGACCACTAGGCAAATACATAAAACTCGCCGGAATATAATCTGTCTACTATGGCGCTAATATAGTATTACTACTTGATGGTCATTTGAGTATTAATTGACAATTAGACATCAGAAGCTTGCATTGCATGAAACACGAACAAACTATATACGCTTTATACCCGATAGACGATGAATAGTAAAAATCTTAACATGACCCTAAATCTAGTGAAAATGAAAGATTTACAAATAAAAAGTTCATCAGATCGCGAAACTGGTTCCACGATGAAGTTCGGCCAATGGCCTGCTCAAGCCCTCGCCATCGTCGAATTGCGTGATCACAAATTGCATATTTAATATTACGAGCGCAGACCATCATTACGAGCTCTATTAAGTTGTAAATTATGGCTGAAGTAAATGAAACCCTTCAGATGAACTTTCATACGTCCGTAAATAAAAGTCTAGAATTTTATAGATGCATGAATTTCATCATGATACTCGTGTTGTGCATGTGTAGTCATTTGAAGCTAATGTGACCAGTGTTACGTTTCATTTCAAAACTTCGGTAGTATTGAAGGAATAACCAAAATATTTGGCTCCATGTTTGCCTTCATCTTTACACCACAACAATCCGTGCTTGTTTAAATTGTGTCAAGACAATTTGATACAGTGTTTTAGTGCCGTCATAATTTATTGAATTAACGTTATTATTGTTGTTTACTCTCAAGGTTCATCATGATTTAACTTTGTCTTTTCCACTGCGTCCTGTTTTATGGCTGAGAATATAATAGCTTATCAAATTTCAGCGTGTTCAGTGTCGACATACTGTCGCTGTCCCTTATTGGACTTATTGTTAGCTGGGTTATTTTCTGGAAGGATATCCTCAGCTGAGGGCAAGAGCAGTCTTCCCACACGACGGGCAATCTTTCAATTGAGACTCAGTGAGGTTTATTGTGCCAATGAAAAAATTTGCCGGCGACTGTTGGGCACTATTGTACTCGAGTCTCGGATGTACTGTAATGTGTTTGAATACTCATGGTTGGGAATGCATTTGCCCATCTTTGCATCTATTTGAATTATTTAGTTAGGTCCTGCTAGTCACAATTCCATGTAACTAGACTTGCCGTAAAACGCACTAAGATTATTTTGATCGATCGTTTTTTAAAATAGCTTCACAAAATGCACTCTAATTCAACAGGCCTTGTAAAAACTCTATTATGTGAGTTGCAACATTGTCCCGTGAAACGGTTCACTGCTTTAAACGAAATGCACGCATTTTGTCCGATCTCCGTACTCTGCGCGCGCTTACAAATGACCTCTTTGATGTTAGACGAGGTATCAATTACTATATATTATTCATATTAATGAACAATAACATATTAATATAATGAATAGGCTACTGCAAATAGTTCAAGGTTTTTAACATAAATACTGAATTCAATTTGTGATAATATCTTAAGGCCTGTACAACCAACTATTTATTATTATTTCTAATGCATTATTGTTGTTTTATTTATGTAGTAAACTTCTGTCCATATTTTCATAGTCACTCGCCAGAATTAATTCTAAGGACATATTTGAGGCTATCAGCGGATATGTGGTACATGATTATTATATATTTGGATGCTAAAATAATGGGAAATAAATATGTATTGGTGACACATGATTACAAATATGAATTTGGCTAATTTTAAATCTCTCGTTATCTTTTATATGCATTAAACGCCATAATACGAAAGAGACATTGGTCTCTCTCAGAGTGAGCGATTCGAGTAATATAATTGTAAGGACAGTATATGTGCTACTTTGTAAGCGAAAACTCCATTTATAAAATATAAATAAATTTATTATAATGTACACTATTATTTGTAATGTAAATTCAATTCAATGTAATTTTAATTTTTTACTTCATTAATAATAATAAATTCCGATCAAAATTCAATTTAATTGTTATATAATGTAATGTAATAAGTAATGTTAAATTTATTAATGGGTGTATATGTACCTAAATAAAGAAACATTTTATTTATTATTATTTATTTATTTATGGCGTCACACGTGAGTCACACCGCTTTTGCGCTGATGCTTCATTGAAACTTATTTATTTATTATATTATATTGTTACAAAGTTAATGATATTTTCTATTAACAAGTCCGATGAATACGTTAACACTACGCAATATTTAAATTATTATTACATACTAAAAACCGTTGCTCATTGTAATATGTTGGATTAGGTACGCACAAACTGCGTTGATTAGCGGTTAGCTATGAGGCACCATAGAATCGTTACAAGGTTGATGTGCATTATAATTACAGCCTAATCTAACTTTTGTATCTACAATGGCATCAGAAATGTTTTCTATAAGAAATTTTAAACAGAAAAGTATGAAGAAATGTTTCATTTACACTATAGGTTCCCAAACTTTTTGGCTCACCGCCTACTTAGCCAAGTTATCAAAAGTTCAACTCCCTTCGCCACGAAACATAATCGAAAACGCGTATTTTTTGTATTAACTTAACACAAAAAATCACAAGGAAAATAATGTGTATGGTGTAGTTTATTCACGCCCACAGGGGGGGCGGTAGGGACCACTTTGGGAAACTATGATTTACAATATTAATTTCCATGGTCACAGGTATATACAGGGTTATTTGTAAAATACTAACAACCTCTCAGGACTATAATTTCTAACATCATAAACAACAATTTTTGTTCCATGACTTTCAATATTCATCAGATTTTACTTTCGTAGAAAAATAAACGTTTAAAAAGATAGCTCTAAACGGTGATAACTATGTGCAAAACGCAGGATAGGGTTGGGGATCGTTGGTGAAGGCGCTTACTTTTGAACTTATTACCTTACTACCATCTGCCCAAATCGAAAAAATGCCAGATAGTACAAAAAATACTTAAAAGTTTATTTTTGGTACATTCGTTATGTTTTATCAAAAATCATGGAACAGAATTTGTTATTTAAGATGTCAGTTATTAATTATGTTAATTTAATTAATTTAGTAGCATATCACCACAGACATATGTATGCAAATGTCTATGTCTGTGCAATGTTTTCCAAAATTAACACAAAGACTAAAGAATAACATAAAAAACTGGTCAGTAGTTGTGATATTTTTCTTTTTATATATATCAAGCGATGGGACGAACACGTCGTGTGCCTGATACCTGATAGTAAGCTACTCGCCTATCCATAACAGTTGC